ACAGTTTTCCAGCTTTTCATAGAATCTAAAATAAATGTATCTTTTTTTTAAAGGGAAGACAAACCTTTCAGCGTTTTGACAAGTTCAATGCCAAGTACAATCCTGTGGGAGCCAGCGAGCTGCGTGACCTCTACCTGAAGACGGAGAATCACATCAACGGAGAATACTTTGCCACCATCATTAAGGTCAGTTGCTGTTCTAAAGAGTAGAATGTCCGTAATATAATTGCAGGAAAAGTAATACACATTCTAGTTATTCTTCACCAAGGCATATGTGTGTGTATGGTGGATATCAAAAGTTGACAGAAAACGTTTTTTTTTTAATATTGAAATGCATACTAACGGTTATATATACATTTTTCTATTATTCTGTTGCTCTGAATTGCTGCAATAACTATGTGCTGTATAATACAATTGTGTAGTAGGTATGTATTTTTTTGGCTCACCAAAAATCTACAAATATGATTTATAGATTCCTTCTTCTGGATTGACTCAATGTTTGCTTCAACAGGAGGTAGCCAGCGACCTGGAGGACGCCAAGTACCAATATGCTGAGCCTCGTCTGTCCATCTACGGCTGCACGGCCAACGAGTGGAATAAGTTGTCCAGCTGGTTTGTCAAGCACAGGGTCTACTCTCCTCACCTCAAGTGGATGATTCAAATTCCCAGGATCTAGTGAGTCTTCTCTACTTTCCTATTAAATCCAACTTCATAGCAGATCTCGACCTCGCCCTTGCGTACGTCTAAATCCTCATTTTCATCCCAATGCTTTGTCCCTCTTCTGCTCTAGCGACATCTTCAGAGGCAGGGACTTTGTCCCGCACTTTGGCAAGATGTTGGAGAACATTTTCCTCCCCGTGTTCCACGCCACCATTGACCCAAGATCCAACCCCGATCTCAGTATCTTCCTCGAGCATGTGAGCGAGAAAGAAGTCAACATGGATGGCTGTAGATATATACAGCATTGAGCACAAACTGCCAGGCATGATAATTCCTCTTTTGCAATTAGCTTGAAGCTTTGACCAGTTGCTTCTCGTTGCGCAGGTGACAGGTTTCGATAGTGTGGACGACGAGTCCAAGCACAGCGGCCACATGTTCTCCAGTAAGAGCCCCAAACCAGAGGAATGGGACATTGCTAGGAACCCATCCTACACCTACTACCTTTACTACATGTATGCTAACATCGCTATGCTCAACCAACTGCGGAGGTCAGTCACCCCAAGTCGTAACTACCGTATTGGCCTGAATATAAGACGGTGTTTTTTGCATTGAAATAAGACTGAAAAAGTGGGGGTCGTCTTATATTCGGGGTCTAGACATTATACCCATCCACGACGCTAGATGGCGCCAGATATCATTGAAGCGAATGCTGAACTTCACTCCCCAGGCCAAAGTGAAGCCCTGTCACGAAGAATAAAAATAAAAATAGCGGTAGCGCGAAGAAGAAAAATAAAAAATCGCGGTAAGAAAGAAAAGAGAACAAAATAATAGAAGAGATAACAGAAAATGGAGAAATGTAGCGACAATCTGGAGAAAAGTGGGTCGAAGATCGGCCAAGTTAACCGGCAGCGGAGGAGAAGTTATGATGTCATTTACATTTCAAAAACCAGAAGCCATTCATTTACGAATGTGATTGCACTTTAGTTTACATATATAAATGTTCAGATATTAAGATTTGAATGAGGCAAAATAACATGCTTTTTCTCTCAAATATATTGTTATAATCATTTGTTTTAGATGTACTGTAATTATCTTTAATTATTGTGCTGTAATTATCTTTAATTAAAATTAATTTGGTGTTCAAAAAGTGTTTTTTCAAACTTGAGTCTTGAAAAAGAGGGGGTCGTCTTATAATCAGGGCTGTCTTATATTCGGGCCAATATGATAATTTTCTGTTTTCCACATTTTTCGAAGAGCCCTCCCGTTTATTAACATCAGTTTGCATTCGCTAATCGTCACTTTTTTGGGTCTATTTGTTGCAGGCAGCGGGGGATGAACACGTTCATGTTCAGGCCTCATTGTGGTGAAGCCGGCGCCATCACTCATCTGTTGGCTGCCTTCATGACAGCTGACAACATTTCGCACGGCCTCAACCTCAAAAAGGTCAGTGGCGAGATTTTCAATGGCAGCCTGGGTGCAGTGTACACTCCAATCACATCTGCTTGTTTTATTCCAATTCCACTGAGGTGGTGTGTAAAAATACTCGTAATTCGTGCAAAAAGTGTGACCACTCAAATCGTTGCGAGCTCATACTCATGTGGATACTTTGAAAGCTTTCCACCATCGCCAAAAAACAACAACAATGCATTCTCTTGCAATGTGCTAACATTTGGAATGACAGCCAATGAATGACGCAGCCTGTTGACTATTTGCATAAAACTATTCCAGATGTTTATTTAGTGGAGTGAAAACAAGATTACACTTGGTCAACTTGACCATAATTTGGAATCGAATGTCATGTCACACATTAAAAAAAAAAAAAAAAAGCACTATATTTATACACTCGGCTTTTTCGTCTAAAGACCCACATGAATAGAATACACAAACAATTCATACTCCCAGGGGCCATCTGAATCAGCAAACTCGGCTAAGCAACTGTATGAGGTCATTCTTTTACCAGTACATTTCTTTCATTCTTCTGGACGTGTTCTTCAACCACCAGAGTCCAGTACTGCAGTACCTGTACTACCTGACCCAGATCCCCATTGCCATGTCCCCCCTGAGCAACAACAGTCTGTTCCTTGAGTACGCCAAGAATCCCCTGCTGGAGTTCCAAAAGAAAGGCCTGATGGTTTCCCTCTCCACCGACGACCCCATGCAGTTCCATTACACCAAGGTCTTTGACACGGGCTAAACAAGTGAACCTAAACATGATTGAATAAGAGAGTTTATCCTGTTGCTTTGTTTTCCCTACAGGAGCCTCTGATGGAGGAGTATGCCATTGCGGCGCAGGTTTTCAAGTTGAGCACTTGTGATATGTGCGAGATATCCAGGAACAGCGTGCTGCAGAGCGCGTTGTCTGACGAGGTAGAGCAGCAAGCCGTTAGATTGAAAAACTAAAACTGTCAACGTTCCCGATGACGTTTTTGATAGAGTCTGTGTAGTCAAACACCGGATGGCGCTGTTGCTTCATGGCAACAAGCTTCCGGGTTTACATTTCATCTTTGCTCGGACAGCCCCAAAAACATATCATAGCTTTGGTTGTTAGACGTTAAACATATTAATATGTGAATAATAAAAGCTTGAATTTTTACGGCGTCTTCGGTAACTCCGTAAAACACAAGAACATATGACAAAGCATAAAGGTGAAGCTTTCTGTTAAGAATGTGTGCAAACCCGCTTCCTGAGCGTCACTTTTGGTGTACACTGAACCCGCGTACAGTTGCAAATTTCACCTATTCATTGACCCTCCGTTAATTTGCTGAATAACTAACTCACCTATCTGTTGTTGTGCGTAGGTCAAAGCAATAAAAGTGTTACTTTGGCCCCATCTTGTGGGCTTTTGCTTGCCAGAACTGTGTCGTAGTGAACTGAGGATCTTCAGACCCCTGATCAAACAAGCCAAAAGTCACAACAACAATAATAATAGCATTTAGTCTGTTACATTCCTGAACACTTCGTAAAGGAGGGGATCCGACAAATGTAGAGAAGGGTTAGGAGCGCAGAAATCAAGAACGTCTAGAAAATTGAAGCACTTAGAAACAGAGTCGTGAGTGAGGCGTAATAATCCAACAGCCAGTTGTCAACGTGGCAGTCTTTAAAAGGCAGCTGGTAACAAAGCATGATTACAGACAGGTGCGGCTCATGAGGGAAAGCCCTCCTCTGCCACCTACTGGAGACAAACAGAAACATCATCACTCCACATTTCAGTTTCACTTTTTGTTGGGCAGGTGCCTCAGCTTTTAATTGCAGTATTAGTGACGGGTGTAGATTCAGAGTACAATTGTCCGAAGTGTCTTGGTAAACTGAAGTAATCAGTTAGTCGCTAGTTGACACCTGGTTAATGAACATCATCTCTGCTCTGTTTTTCTGTGCTCAGGAGAAAAGTCACTTCTTGGGTCAGAACTACCTGAAAGAGGGCCCGGAAGGGAACGACATCCGTAAGACCAACGTGGCTCAGATCCGTATGGCGTATCGCTATGAGACCATCTGCTATGAACTCAACCTCATCAAGGAGGGTCTGAAGACTGAATAAAAATATGAAAATGAATGGCATGAAAAAAAGGCTTTTTTTTTCACTCAAATGTTTTATCTCGAGCCCAGAACAATTGCCCGCGCTGTAATGTACAGTACTGTATGTGCATTCTTGGTTTTCTTCAGGAACATCATGGGTAGAAGTACATTAAAAAGGGATTATGAAGGGAAAAAAAGTCTGTCTGTGATGTTTGCATGTGATCATTACTCCAGGAGAATATGGCGACATTATTTACTTTACAAGAGGATCTTCTCCAGTATTTACATAGTGACTGGCACCTGCTTTATTTTTACAACAACCAAACGAGAAGCAATTAATGTTCATCTTTTGTAATGATGTATGGTTTCAGTCATTTTTACCCGACGTATCATGCATTGAATTTTAAAGAGAAGGTTCACTTTGTGGAGTTTTTATGAATTGGAGATTGACAAAGTGAAATGAGAAAGCTGACCTATGTCTTGTGGTGACGTCATGACCACGTGCCGTTAATGGCGTTGTCTTGACAATGGCTGTTGACTTCTTGGTATCCAGGACTGGATGAAAAAATATATATTTTAATCTATTAAATTAGCTGACATTCTTAAATATTATATGCTTAATTGCGTATATAGAAAAGAAACACACACACACACACACACACACACACACGTATGGGGGGAGAGAGAAAGAGAGAGAGAGAGAGAGACATGGAAAAGTGAAGGAGTCTTAGATTTTATGGCGCTGAAATTTCATTTTTATTTTGAAAGCCGTCCCGACTTATTTTGAGGCTTTATGTTGAAAGCTCCAAACGGAATATGTGTGACTTGAACTTTTGCGATTGTCACCAGAGGAGGGCGAGGGCTGTAAAACTCAACTCGTCCCTTCTTTTCTTGTGTGTCTGCCACTTTTCTTTCTTGTTTCTGGACTGCACAATAACCAGCGGCACGCATTCGCCTACATTTTCTTCAGTTCAACTTTGATCTTAGCGTCAGTAGGAGCCTTGAATGCAGATTTCCACGTCTGAAAACTTATCATTGAAGCATGAGCGCTCCCAAAGTCATAACTTTAAGTCAAATATTTGATGGCCGAGGGGGACGAGGATGAGTTTTGCACTGCGCTTAACCGGTAAGTCCTTCTCAATACTTTACTTTTGAATGTGTCCATGTTTGTTTTGTTTTGAAACAAGTCACGGTGGTGTGAGTCGACAACAAATGAGTTGAAGGTTTGTCGTTCTTTGTCGTTAGCTAATTGTTAGTAATGGCTTATGATTAATTATTAGTTTGCAATAATGGGAGTTTACAATGTTTTGTTTGAGTCGGTGTGACTTGACTGCCATCGAGCATTTTGACCGAACTTCCAAGACCCACAGAATATTGTAGCCTGGGACGCCGAATCTATCGACCAAAAGAAAGAAGATTCTCTTTTATGACCGTAAATAATATATACATATATCAAAAAGCTTGTTTCTCGCGGTCTCTGTTCGTTCATAATCAGCGGTGGAACATTTACCCAAAACACTGGTTTCCGAACAAAATGTGGAGTAAACGAGCTTTTTGTGAAAAGAAACATCTCAAGCAGATCTACTTCGTTGCTCGTTTTTTTTTTTTTTTTTTGCTTTTGAGACTATGCAAATTATAAATCAACAAAAACAACACACAAAGTCCCAATTTCATTAGAAATGGGTTTGTGGAATGCAATTTTCTTATCGTAACGACTGCGATTTTAAAAAAAGCCTAATTTTGGTCGGTAGTGAGACTTAAATTTTTTATGTGTCATATTTTTATTGATTTGAATCGTGTCTCCACAAATTCAGTACTCAAGAAATGCAGTCCACATGTTTACGTATCATTGTGTCATGAAAAGTTGGAGTGATAAAGGCACAAATTTGTTCATGCTATTGCTGTAATGTAATCTATGATTTACACGTTTACTCCAAACTTGTGTGGTATAATTTTTTTGAAGTTATGTGAACATTTAAAAGTCTGCAACTCAAGGTTAAAAACTCTAATTGAAGTAGATAAACTGTCCTTCATATTTTTTTTTTTGTTTATTTGTTTTGGTATATGCCCAGCCTAGTAGACCAAAGCATTTATGTATAATAAATCTGACATTGTGGGCGACATGGTATTTCGAATGGTTAGCACGTCTTCCTCAGATTGCAGAGGTGCAGGATTCGATTCCAGACCCTTGCCGTCCTGTGTGGAGTTTGCATGTTCTCCCCGTCCACGTGTGGGTTTTCTCCGGGTACTCTGGTTTCCTCCCACATTCCCAAAATATGCATGGCAGGTTAATGGAACACGCTTAAACTGTCCTTAGGTGTGATTGTGAGCGCAAATGATTGTTTGTCTATGTGAGCAATGCGATTGGCTGGCATCCAGTTCAGTGTGTACCCCGCGTACTGCCCGAAGACGGCTGGGATAGGCTCCAGCATGCCCGTGACACTCATGAGGATAAGCGGATAAGAAAATGGATGAATGGATGGATGAAATCTGACATTGTTTATTTGTAATACAGATTAGTTTATGTATATCTTGGGTTTGTAAAAAATATGTGGGAAGAGCACCTTGGAAAAAAATTGCATATTAAATTATTTCCATATTGAGGGGGGAGAAAAAATGTGTGTGTGTTCAGCAATTACATTAGTTTTCAAAACCGTTGAGCCGTAGTTTATGCCATACATATACATACTCTGTTCCAGCGTGAGGTGCCTTCACTCGTCCAATTTCTCCTAATAGTTGACATGCAAGCTGAGATTCGCTGCCAAAACTTTTCCTACTCAAAATCTGTGTTGACCTCGAATCTGAATTGATGAGACGCTGCAAACTACGGGGAAGTGTTATTCAGTGGTTTACAATTATGAATTTCTCAGATAGGTAAACTAGAACCATTTGGATTGGATTACAGTTTACATATTTAAATATCCTTGGCAGTGAATGTGAGAACAAAAAAAAATACAGTACACCAGTTTTTTGGGGCTAACATCTTGCTTTTAAAATAATTTGCTTTAGAACCGTGTTTCCCCAACATGACCTTACAAAAATATCACAGAAATCAATCGAGGATTGATTTGTTCTGTATCTCAGTAGATACGTCCCAGGTGATTATACTTGAACATGGTTTATTTGTAGTAAGTGAATAACAGTCATAAAAAAAGTGAAGATTCCATTGTAAATCCAAAGCTGTCTCTTTTTGCCACAACTTCTGTTCTTGTGGCGAGACTGGAGAACCGAGAGAGTTCCTCCTCATATTAGTTCCTCCCAAAAGGCGGTGTTTGACAGGATTCTGCTTCCATATCAAACCTCAACCAAAGCTTGTCTTTTATGCGCGATGTAGACTGGGGCACAGCCATGCTTGAAACGCACAATTACTTACCCTGAACACAGCTGTCCAGAATGTCCACAGGCTTATCCTGGGAAAACCAGTCGGTAGTCTGCCAAATGAAGAAGTGTGATGAATCAGTTTGTACAGTTCCAGAGTCGACGGGTGGTGCGCTCCACGCTCCTCAGTTCTACACCTGGCAATGTGCCTGACAATTCGACACTTGTAAGACTTGCTTGCAGCTGCGCGACGAGGGAAAACAATGCTACAGTATAAAAGGACAATTTTCGTGACAATCCTAAGGCAAGAGGAGGTTTTTAGACATTTCTTTTTACACCACACTATTGAAAGATTTATTTGTTGTGTAATTCCACACTTGGTGGGTGGGCAACCCAACTATTTGTACGCAAAAAGATAACAAGTACATATTCAATAATATGCTCCCGTTTAGCCTGCACATTACTAACACCATTCCTTTTAACAAATTGCTGAACATATTTTACGTTTAATTGTTGATGAGTAAAAACCCAATATAGCAAATCGTCAAAGGTGACCTCATCCATTCCAATCCACTTGTCCTTTTCCTAATTAAGGTCCAGAGGATTAATCGGGCAGCCGATTAAATCAGACGATTATGGACCTTCAAACATCAGCCCAAATATTTGGCCAAATGGCCGATGTTTGCGTTTGTGTCTTTATGTACTCGAATCATTTACAGGAATTTTACACAAGTAACACTGGTTTCATTCATTATGACACCTAAATCTTCACAATAACCTTGTATCCCTGAACGTGTATAATGAAATTTGTTGATAAGGTTGTTCTGTGGGTTTGTCATTCAACACAAAGCGATTCTTAACTTTTACAAGCAGCGCAAGGTGTGCAAAGGAATTGACGTTGGATGTTCCTATTTTACACACAACCTAAACTCATGCTGCCCATCCATTTCTTCTTTGTTGGGTGGGCAGTCCATTTTTGCCATCGCTGCCAGCCGTGTGCGATGGCGCTACAAAAAAAGCCCAAGAAATGCAAGATGCTTTTGTTTATCCTTTTTCGATGCTCACTGAGCTGAAGTCTTGCAAGATATACTGACATGATGACTTTTCAACCTCCCAAGTTTCACTGTGACTTTTGAGAACAGATTTTTCCAGAAAAGGCCGCCTTTTAAGGAGCGCTGGAATTGAGACTGCCTTCGCGCTGACTCTCTTATAAAATACAATAGACGCGCTTTCACAACAGCTGCAGCTGTAACAAAGCGCTTGACAGAACAGTTAACATAAAATAATAAAATCTGATATTGCCTCATGTTTTTAACTTAGAGGCCAACTCTCCCTTATATGTCATTTATTGCAAGGGCGCTCTTTTATGACCGTCACATGGTTCAAATGTATCTTATCCCAACATAGCTCAAATAAGTGGTTGCAGCTTGTGCCCCATAATTATGGATAGTCCGCCGAGCCGTCTTCCTGCAGTGCAGGAAACACAACTCGGACCTTCCTGTGAAAATGTGCAAATAATGCAAGTGGGTCAGTTTGGGAGACACATTGGCATCGCACGCCACTGGAAGCGCATTCCAGTCCAGGCGCATATTTGATTGAGGTCAGGCCAAAACAAAGGCGACATTTGACTGACAGAACGGCTCTGGTTAAGATGCTTACTCCAAATTCCTTCATTATAGCTCCATTTAGCACACATCATTATGAAGATAATGAGTTGTGTTGGGGAATTTGACAAAATCCCCTCCCTCCTCCCAACTTCCACCCCCACAGTCATTATGGATTCTGTCATTGGTTGCAAACTGAAATCTGAAAAGAAAATCTATGGGGTAGACATTTTTTTCAGGACACACAGTTTGAGCCGTTTGTTCCCATTTGTAGCCAGAACTGTCTGTACAGACCCTGGGGTGAAGAAAAAGAGTGAAGACACTCTATGTCAGGGGTGTCAAACTCATTTCATGTTGTGGGCCTCATACGGCCTCGGTAGATGTCAAGTGGGCCGGACCATTAAAATCCATGAATTGCACCTATTAAAAATATTCATTCCGTGTCTTTTATGCATTTTTTCACCTTTAAATTATCCTGCGGGCCAGATCGAACCTCCTTGGGGGCCGGTTCCGGCCCGTGGGCCGTATGTTTGACACCACTGCTCTATGTAATTATTAATTGAACTTCTGATGTCGCTCTCGTGATAGTTTTTATCGCGTCGTGGTCAAGGTACAAAACCGCTCTGGAAATGTACCTGCAGTCTGCGGTGAAATCCAACAAACATCCAGCCGTTATCTTTTTTGCCCATCTTGGCCAAACAGTACATGGTGTGCCTTTTAATATACTATAAGTACCGTTTTTGCTGTGCAACATGCGAGTTTAATATATAGTATTTCTTCTGTTATTTGTATGGTCGTAGGCGGTTATTGGAAATGGAGTCGAGAATATGGTTGGAGAGTAGACAGGGGGGGAGAAAAGAGTCAACACAGAACAGCAATAGTATAACATTGTATGTCGAAAATTAGACACGCGGGTTGTATTTTATTTGCCATGCTGTATATGTGGACTGAGGATGAGGAAGGGACGTACTAAGTGTCATGTGCACTGGTTGCCAACCAATCACAGGGCACAAGTCGACCGACAACCAGTCACACTCGCAATTTTTCAGTCTCACTTGAGTGAACATGCATGTTTTGAGGCATGTGGGATGAAAATGGAGAAACCAGGGGAAACCCACACTGACACGCGGAGAAACTCCACACAGGAAGGCGGCGGCTGAGATTCAAACCCCAAACCTCACAGCTGCGAGGCAGATGTGTTAACCAGTAGTCCACCGGCTCACCGTGCTGCCCAATGGTGATTTAGTTACCGGTAGTTTTTTATTTTTTTTACCATGCTCAGATGTGTTCTTGTAACAGATTAGTCATGAAGAAGTCACTATGTTGTAATTTAAGCTTAATTAAAAAAAAATCCTCATGCTGCACACTACTTGGCAGAATCCACGGATCTCGAGGTCACACAGTACAGGCTGAAATAATTCTGTGGGCCGGTATGACCGCATTATATTTTCTACTTTCTATTTACATCTGTCCATGTAAACAAGTCTGAGTGCTGAACAAAGAAGACGCACACATTGAGGACCTCATCGACAGCTATAGCCATACTCTTCTGTTGAAAGTGTGGTTAAAAAACGTTTCTGTCACCTACTATTATTTATCGCCTGCTCTTTTTGTAGGCACCAGCATTCTTGTGTATCTCACACCACTTGCACATACAGTACTCTTATTTTGAAGCTCCCACGTGTGAACGTGAGCCCCTCAAAGCACAAAATAAGATTCGACGTTCTGCTGTGTCATTGGTAATTCAGATTTAGTTGTCTATGTCGGTTAAAGGCAAAACCAACAGAATTTGCCCGAGGCCTAAGCGAGGGTTGGGTCAGCTCAAGACATGACACGTAGTTCCCCTGTTTCTGTCCCTTGTATTTCCTTATTCTCACTGGTATTATATTTTGGAAAGAGGCCTTGATGGGGGTCTGTCCTTACTGACCCTCGTTCTGGTTCTGTGACCATCTTGTAGCTGCCCTTACGTGTGTCCACCTTGCTTGACCCTGCGATGAGCTGTCTGGACTTGTTTTAAAGCACAGTGTGATTAAGAAGTGGTTTTGTGTGTGTGTGTGTTTACTTTTTAGGTTTACAAAAGGAGACAAGGAGGCAAACACGGGAACTAGAAGGCACATTAAGACTTCCGCGGTGCACGCATGAATGGAGAACTGGAGGCGAGTTGACTTGTACCCCCTCTGAACATGCTGGCTCTGAGTGTGGAGCAGGGCAGGCGAGGGGGTGCTCATGTTGATCATCTGCAGAAGGAGGCTGCCGTCGGATGGCAGGGCCGGCAGTCTCCTGAGCAGGGGCGTAACATCAAGGAGAGGATCTCCCAGTGGGAAGGTCGCAGCAAGGATGTTTCCGTGAAGGCCAAGCCTCTGAGTGTCGCCCGAATTCCGTCTGAGGCTGTCCTGAGCAATGGGGGTTCAAACAAGGGCCTTCATACTCAAGATTCTGCTAGAGCTCAGAATTTGGCTTTAGATTTTCGGGAATCTCAAGCACAATCAAGAAACTGCAGGATTAGTCCAAAGTCTGAGTCCTCGCACAAATGCTCCACAAAAATTTTCACCTCAAGCCCAGGAGACAAGCCGATACAAAGACTGATGTCGCCTTTTCTAGATTCCAACACAGACAAAGTCGCAGTCGATGGCGAGCGAAAATCAGACGGCGTCTTTGACGTCGATGCCGAGACCAAACATTTTTCACACTTAGCCGACGACAACATGCCGGCTGGGAACTTTTATACTTCTCGGGGTTTCTGGCGGAGTCTCGAAGGGGGCCGATTTCTTTGGGAGAAAGGCAGAGCATCCTTAGGTGAAGCTCCTCCTAAACCGCAGCGGACATTCAAGTATCAGGGAGGTCAAAAGGACGTACTGCCACGGAACAGCGGATCAACTCAAAACAACCACGGCAGTGGCAGGGATCACAGGGTAGCCCGTCCACCGAGCTTCCGACCCCCTCCCTGTCCCGTCGCCAGGACCAATGGACTTTCAAGGCATCAAAATAACAGGTGGGTTGATGCAATAATGTTCATCGGGACGGATTACATTGTGGTCCGTTTGAATCTGAAATTTGTTTGTCCAGGACCCTGGTTTGTTCAAAGCCAATGTTCTAATAGGAAATGTTATAGTTGGAAATGTTGGCCTTCGAGGTTCCACTGTACACTTTTCTTACCTTGTAAGGCAGATGTTCCCAACTGGGGGTGTGAAATTTGCAACTTGCATTTGGCAATTTTCTAATAGCATAAATAAATATAAGGGTTTCTTTCAAATTTATTGGGATGCCTTTTTCATCGCTAAATGAGTTACTGGGTTTGTATCTGAATGATCGTTTTTAATTCAATACTTAGAAATCTTCTTAAGTTGCATCTCACCAACGTTTTTCCTCTTTGTTGCTCTCAGTAGAAGTTGCTGTTTTCCTGGCGTTTAAAGGCTTTGTTCTGACAAAAGTGCTGCCTTGCATCCAAGTGCTGATTTAGCGTTGTTTGCTATTATTTCAGGATGTAGCCTCAGCGGAGTCGTCATCTCTTGGCTCCCATCATCCTGTCACTGGCATTTATTTACTTACGTAACTTGCAATTGCCCAAGTCCTGACTTGTTTGCCCATATGACCTCATGCGAGGCAGGTCTCTAATGGTCACACCCATGATCCTGTGTAAAAGAAAAATGCTTGAATATTAGGATGTGAGGATATTTAGTGACCAATATCATGAACCTAATCAGAGATTACAGTCCCGATATCTTCACAGTATAAAAATACTGGACTGTAGACTCTAGCTTGATCAGGATAATTAACTTGAATATACGTCAGAGATGGGAAACTTAAATGCTTGAAGGGGCAAACATTTTTCATCAGTGCTACTCTGGGGGGGGTGGGGGGCATAGGACCACTTGCTTCCTAACCAGATGTATGACAAAAACGGCATTTTAAATATGGACAAAACACATGAAAATATATGATCTTAAAATATTTCATTTTTCAGCACATCGATAAAACATACACACGATCTTAAACAGACAGCAAAGGATTTGAAGAAAACAACAACATTTTTTTCCAGTATAATGGGCTCTCTTGCATAAAAATTAACATTCAAGGATGGCTCAAAACTCCTGAACAAGAAAGCAACATTAAATGCAAAAACTTGTGTATTTTTTCACACAATAATCAATGGACTCAAAATATGACATTATTATCTTGCATAGCATTCCAAATCCACAAAAAAATTATTAGGCTTACTTATGTTGTAGTCTCGGGCAGTATAAGACCCTGTGTAGGCACTATTTTTTTTTCCAGTTTCCAGTTTTGCTGTGATTACCCAACCCCACTTTCATGCCATGCTTTTTGTGGAAGATGAACAGTATTCAAAGGTGTACCAGCGCTTTCAAGAAAATTGATTTGTTTTGCAGAAAAATATTTCCCCCACGATTGTTGAGGTTGCTTGGGGGGTATTTATCAAGGGGCCACTCAGAGCAGCATATTTTTTACATTTACATCTAACCACATTTAGAAGAACTGCTCAAGAGCCACAACTCTGTTATTACTTGTCAAATGTCATTTCACTCCACTTGCATCCCATAATTCTACAGGAGGTCCTTTGAGTACGAGGACGCACTGCATCCCGCTGTTAAGCAAGACACGCTGCGAAGCCAAACGAGGCACTCGGGCCTTCACCATGCATACTCTGATGATAATATTTATGAAGACATCGTCTGTAAGTTGAGCTTGTGTGTGTGTGTGTTTGTCTTATATGAAGTCATCCACCACAAAGTTTTTTTTTTTTGGTATGCGGAACACTTACATTTTGTATCTATATCTATAGAAATAATAACAATTCAAGATGGCCCAATCAAATACACAGTATATGCCAGGGGTGTCAAACTCATTTTTGTCATGGGCCACATTTTAGTTTCCCTTGGAGGGCCGTTATTATTGACGTGAGAAAATTTGGTTTCAGTCATAACGGTTTATACAACTATTTAAGTTTCTTTAATGAGGGGTTTGGCTACAAGAAAATTCTTTCAATGTGTCTCTTATTGATTACATATGAGAATTTTAAATCTTGGTCGAGATTTTAGCAAGCATCATGGAAATTGACATGATTGATTTGCTTTCGCGGGCCACATAAAACGATGCAGTGGGCCAGATCTGGCCCCCGGGCCTTGAGTTTGACACCTGTGGTATATGCGTTTCTACTTGATAAAACTGTCATGTCACTTGACTTTAATCTTGGACTTAGCATGCTGCTCATTATTCTTGGCAATTGTAGCTTTGCACACTTAGCAAGTCACACGTTGGATGTTAAGCACTTGGGTTTATTGGACTGGATTTGTTCTTTAAATTTCTCCCATGACTTGGTTTCTCCTCAGGTGAAGTGACCAGAGAGAACCCTTATGAGGATGTCAAGTTACCCCCTATGTGTCTTCCTGTCAACAGGCCTCAGAGCACAAAGGTAAGGGGCCAGTACAGTTAATACACCTCGTCGCAGATTTGTTTTGAAGCATATCCTCCGTGATCTGCTGGATAAAAAACCTTATTTTGTCATTTGCTATTTTTGTGCTTGAGCCAAAGCTTCGTCTAAAATCCAAAAAAAAAACTTATTTTGTGCTTGAGCCAAAGCTTCGTCTAAAGTACCGGTATTGTTTTGTAGCATCTTCGTGCCAACCACCTTTGTGGAGCCGAGGGTTCAATCTGCATTCAGGCAGCCGGTATACTTGTCTAATAGAAAGGAAAGTGTTTGTCGCAACCTTGTGGCCTCTGTAGGCACTTACAACCCATTTTGGGTGAGCGCCTATTATTCTGGCATTTTCGCTATTCGCGGCAGGGCTCAATCCCAATGCCTCACGAATACTGTGAGTTCACTTTATCGCAAAGGTTCCCTACAGATTCATCGCACCATAGTGACACTGTGACCCCAAAAAATTGTTTTACAGCTCCACATAAAACCCCAAACCATAGGGGGGGCATCTTGCAAAGTGGCGAGGAGGACAATGCCACCATTAAGATCAACCATCGCCGATGATCCCAAGTCTGCGACCCCTCGACGCATAAGCGCTCCTAAAATTCAGAGGACTCCCCAGGTAATAGCTTGATTTTTGTCATTGCATTCCACGTGCCATTCAGCCAGTGATCCAGTGGTGTTTCTGCAATGTGGTAGAACAAGTGACGTCACTTGTTTAGGTGCAAGACTGTAAATGGAGGCGGGTTTGTTACAAGACGGAAGTAGAAGTCACTGAACAAACGACAGTCGTAGGGCAACTTACGAGCGCATTTATCCGAATAAAGACGCAACATATGAGCCATGGCGGTAGAAAGTGATTTGTCAGAAACAATCTTTACCAATAAGGTACAGTAACACTTTACTATTTACAAGAGACCTATTTTGGCTAAACATCTCTATGTACTTTAACTTTTAAATACCCAAAGCGTGTGATGTTGCTATTCTGTATTACCTACTTTAAGGTCTCTACAATAATGGGGCGCCTGCCATGCCTCAGGTTGTGTTCGCGCTTTTTTCGGTGATAATATTACTATTAGAACAGAGTTCTGTGCGGGAATTTATGTACCGTAAATGTTTATTTCAATACATGACGTGATAACTCAGAAGAGTTGTGTTAACAAATTCACTCATCGCTTAGCTTATAACCACTTGACAATGACACATTTACCACTGTCTATAAAAGTCAAAAAGAATCTCTTCCCAAATGCTGGTTGAGCTCTTTTGTTCCAGTTCTGATGATATGATGAACACACACACACAATCAACTGGCTGTGCCCATTTGGCCTGTTAAAACATACTTTTCAAGTTCTTGTGGGTGCTCCACTCTGCCATTTGTTTATTTGACCATCTTTCTGGAATAGCTACAAAAACGTGTTCGTGTGTATTTTTTCTGACCACACAGTATGTCAATAAGATCAAGACAATATTTGATGACAAACGAGGGAGGAAGCGAGTGAAAAACCAAGGAGTTCCAGTGCGAGGTGACACACACACACACACACACACACACACACACAGACACAGACAAGGCCGAATGCAGCCGACTTTGTTGAACAATAAAGGCCGACTTCAAGTGACGATACTTTCTGTGACTCCTTTCCGTATTGCTGCATCTTGCTAATCTGTCCTTTTTTTTTTTTTTAAACTGGTCAGGGGAGACCAGCGGGACTGAGAGTGACCCCGAAGACAACGGCAAAGGTATCTCACCAACCACAACACAGTAAATTCAATTTCGGACACAACTCTCCAAATTTCTTGTGAAAACGCGAGAAGCTCTTTGTGTGATGTGCAGCAGGTTTAAGGAGATCCGTTTACAAACAGTCCACACTGAAGCGGAGGCCAGGCTACCGCACTCTGGAGAAAGATCTGATCCAGGCACAGCAGCAGCAGCTTTTCCAGATGTTTGTGGTGGTTTCTCTGAGGAAAGGTTCCCCAGCCAATACCTACTCCCCTGAAATAACACAACAGTTCCCAAAAATGGTTTGTAGCTTCTGATTGTGATGAATTACTAATTGATTCTTAATGTCCAACATTATTATTATTTTTTTCATTGTACTACTAATCACCTATGAGCTTTGGTTGGTTGGGAGTTGCTTATCTGACTGGATTTGAATAGGAATTGTTCCGTTTCAGTTTGAAAAGTCATCCAGACTCTCCAAGGAAGCCGAAGATCAGCTCAAGGTCATTCCCAAATTCTGTTTTCCTGACATACGCGACTGGAAGCCTTCATCGCACACACCAAGGTCAGCCATTATAGAGCGTGACATTGGACATTTTTCTAATGATGACTTTGCTCCACCATCAATTATTTTGTTTACATTATTTTGTTTAAATTCCCATAAGAGTATTCCCATATTTAAATTAATTAAATAAAACTATCGGAAAGTGTGTAATATGTGAACCTGTGTTAATATTAAATCATAACATTCTGTCTTAACTTTATTACGAAGTGGCAAATGAAATGCAGGGCATTTTGCAACACGACAAACATCTCCTTTTCCATTGTTTTAAGTTGGTCCGCGATGACTATTATTACCTCCACCGCAATGACCTCTACTTCCTCTTTGTGCTTTCCCTAAAACCGAAAAATCCCAACATGCATCAGCATTCTTTTCCACTGTAATTTCGATGTTTAATCTGTAAAAACAAAACTCCAATCTTCATCAGTGAATTAGGATCTTTGAAGGCCGAGTCATGCCTGAAAATCATGATTTTGTGTGTGTGTGTGTGTGTGTGTGTGTGTGTGTGTGTGTGTGTGTGTGTGTGTGTGTGTTTTTCCAGTGAAACCTTCTCCTTTGTCCTGACTGGAGAAGACGGGAGCCGTTGGTTTTGTTACTGCCGTAAGATCCTGGTGAGTCACTTTAGCGTGATGTTTTTGTGATGACTTGGCCGCCGGCCACGCGCTTACGCAACCCTGTAGGGTCAGTGCGTGTGAGAATCGTGGACCAAAAACCACATGAGTGAAAGTGAGAAGAGTTTCCCATGTCTCTGTGTTTGAGGGAGACGTCAAAACCCCCATATAGTCTTTTTGGGTTTAAATGATGTGGCCTTGCTGATGTGTTATGTGGCTTTGGCCTATTGTGTGCTGCCAGAATTTTTTTTAGCTTTACAGTTGAATAAAACTGCTGCCTGCGTATTAACGAGACGCTCGTTAACGGCACAGACCGCGTTCGTTTTTTTTTTGTTTCCTTTGAATTGAAATGCTAGTAAACCCACCTTTTGTGTGCTGTAAAGTATCATGTCATTAAACGTACCGTGTTTGCTGAAGTGTTGATACTTGAGCAGTGATGTCATAGGTGTGTCTGACATACAGTATGAAACCTTTTGTCTTCTTTAAGCCCATCGGAAAGGGCAAAAGGCTCCCTGAGGTTCATTGTGTCGTCAGCAAGTTGGGCTGTTTCAACCTGTTTGCGAAGGTAAAGTAAGCACACACTGCAGCTTTCAGCGTATTTCATTCCGATAGTCGAGCGAGAGATAAAATGGTGTTTTTAATTCCGGGGCACCAACCATTTGATTGGTTACACACAAGGTAATCTTGCATTTTCACTACCTGCGGGTGGAATTGTCAGGTGTCCCAATACTTTTTTAGCGATAGCAGTACCCAGAAGCAACAATCATTTGTCTGCCTCGTTCTGCACAGATTTTAGAGGAGGTGGAGCGGCGTCGAGAAATCTCCCCGGCACTAGTTTACCCTTTTATGCGTAGCGTGATGGAGGCGCCTCTCCCTGCTCCAGGCCGCACAGTCATGGTCAAGAGTTTCCTGCCTGGCACCGGGAATGAGGTAAGCCGCCAGAGGGAAGTGTTAATTCGCAATTTTGTTCCTCGGTGTCTGAGTTATGCGAGGCTGTCTGTGTCAGGGCATATTTAAACTGCGCTGTCGGCCCTGGCAGCCCCATTTGCCCGAAATGTAGTGTGCCGTCAGATTTTAGCCATTTTTCTCTCTGTATTCAACGCTTGATGTTTTTTCCACCCTGCTGTACTATTTTGCTGACTAGGTTTCTCACCCACATGGCAAATCTTATGACAGTTTCAAATTCTTGCCGGGTGACCACGGCAATCACAGTCTGTTATGTTGACCGTTCAATAACGACGATCCCATTTTGTTCGCGGTGGCCTGAAACGGGGCCGGAAACAGTGTTAACGTACCTTAAACAGAACAGAAAGCTTCTTTAGCTTTATGTGTATTAATAAGAATAAGAATACAAAAACCTTTATTCGTCGCACAATGAAGAAATTCCCAATTTACAGCAGCAAAGTTATGAAAGGGAGAAAGTAGAAGAACAAAAAGTATAGGAGCTGCTGTCAAGGCAGCCACTCTCGCGGCGCCATCTTGAAGTCAAAAGAACATAAGAACAAAATAATACATACAACACAACACATAATAATAAAATTATTATGTTTGGATGTGTCTCTTATATGTTAAAAAAAATACTTACGATCAGACTCTCATTGCAGGTGCTAACTCTGTGTCGTCCGGTCGACTCCAGACTAGAGCATGTGGACTTTGACACGCTGCTCCAGTGTCTCAGCGTGGGAAACCTCCTGCAGGTGTTCGCTTCCCTTCTGCTTGAGAGGAGGGTCATCTTCGTCGCTGAAAAACTCAGGTGCCCCTCCCCCCCACAAACATATTTTCTGAATTCACACAGCTCGGTGAAAAGGCATCTCTTCGTCTTGCTGAAAAGCTTGTCTTTATTGTTTCATCTGATCTTACCAGTGTGTTGTCCCGTTGCGGCCACGGAGTGCTGGCGCTGTTGTACCCGTTTACCTGGCAGCACACCTTCGTGCCTGTGCTTCCTACCAGCATGTTGGACATCAGCTGCTCCCCCACGCCTTTCCTCATCGGGGTGCTAGCCCCTTGCTTGCCGCAGGTGCTTGAACTCCCAATAGAGGAGGTTGGTCACAGCTCATTATCGACCTCAATCAACTGTTTATATTGTTTTTATTTATTGCGCTTTAGGGATCCCGAAAAGGTATTGTGTTTGTCTCATTTTTATTGATGGAACCAATTAAATTTTACTCTAAATTCAGGTAAAATATCATGGGTAGGGAATTACTAGTATTAGTACTTCTTCAAAGTCTGTCGTCTGCCTTACATATTTTTTTAGAAATGATTTCTACAAATAAAGGCCTCCTCGCTAAGCAAACATCTCTGCAGTTGAGTTAACATGAAACACTATTTGAGGAAATCAGATTTTTCCATACGTAGAAATGCAGATTTTCTCCCTTTGTTGTCTGAGCCATGGTGGAACTGTTCCCCGAGCTACAAAATAGAAAATGGTGCAGTCCAGTGGTCTTATGTTGGAGAATCTAGAAGTCCCTAACTGTCGCACGAAATGACAGACACTTTTGTAAACCTTTGAAACTTGTGGTAGTTGGCGTTCAACTGAGTGGCCGTCTAGTTTTTGTGGATTTTGTCAACTTTTTTTGTCATTTTGTCTTCCCTGCATATGAATATGAATTTTGCTCATATCATCTTTTTTGCTGACTCTATTTTCAGGTGCTCATTGTCGATTTGTGTGCAGATGAGATTGTCACTCAGGTAGGATGATGTTCACAGACACCTTTTCAATGCCATGAAAAACTATTTGCCTCCATCTACAGTTTCTCCACATTAATGTTTAAGTTCATCAAACAAATGTCATGATTAGACACAGATAAACAACTTGTACATAAAAAGCAGTTTTTAAATGAATGATTAAGAGGGGGAAAAAAATCAAAGCTACCTAACCCTGTGTGAAAAAGTGCTTGTTAAATCATGAATTGTGCGTGTGTGTGTGTGTGTGTGTGTGTGTGTGTGTGTGTGTGTGTGAAATGTCATCTGTTTCTGAGTAGCAAGGCGAAAACCTCTGCTGACACCGCCCCCCCCCAAAAAATAAAAAATCAAGGATCATCTTAATTTTGGAAATTAAAGATTCCCAAGGCTCTAGGGAGAATATTATCTGGACTAACAAAATGAAAATTGAACTTTTTGGAAAGTGTGAGTGTCGCTTACATCTGGCATGAATATAGCAACAGCATTTTATTAAAAGAACATCAGAGCAACAGCCAAACATGCTGGTGATGTAATGATCTGGAGCTGCTTTGCTACTTCAGGACCTATATGACTTGCTGTGATTGATGGAACCATGAATTCTGGAATTTACCCTTTTTCACACCACTGTAGACTCAGCACAAAAACTGGATTATTATATGTGAATTTATGAGTGATCAAGAGTAGACCCACTTGAATGTGGGCAACAAATAAAATCACTGCATTGAATACCACAAAATCAAGTGCAGTGTTACTGAAAAATAATATTCTGCCTGATCATTGTGCAGCTCGGGGATGAGGACTGCATCCTGCCAAGTAAACTGCAAGCAGCATTACAGCAAATTCTGGAAGAGCGGGAAGAAATTCTTAAGCAGGACGACGCAGATACGGCTGAAGGTTGGTACTTTATGTTCTCTGACTGTCCACTAGGTGGCAGTATTGCTGTAAAAATACTGTTGAGATGAAAAAGGTTGCGCTGTGAAGCCCAGTATTTGGCTACACTCTGGCTTCATTTTGCCTCTAGACACCACATACTTAACCTGGTTAGGAATGATTTAAAGGGACGGACGAAAACCCACTTCTGTCCATGCTTAATCCTTTCTTTAAAAAAAAAATAAATAAAATTCTCGTCCTCTGTCCTGCTCATTTAGACCAGCCGGTGGACTTGTGCTCCCTGATATCGGAGGCCTTTGTGCGCTTCTTTGTGGAGCTGGTGGGCCACTATCCTCTCCACATGACCGAGTCCTCCAACGGGAGCAGGGAGCTTCAGCGCGACAACTTCCGCAAGTCTCACCCGTCGCGCGGCGTCCGTCAGTTCTTGCAGCTCTTCATGGAATCGCAGATGTTTGCCGGCTTCATTCAGGACAAAGAGCTGCGCAAGGGAGGAGGAAGAGGTACTGCTGGTTGACTAAAACCAATACATTTTTTTTTCTGCCCATGTCATGTGTTCTTCCCCACGCATTTTCTCAAAGGTTTTGAGAGATTAGCGATGCAATAAATAAAACAATGGGCTGACTAACCGCTCGTTTAAGGTGGCTATTAATCTGCACAGAAACTTAACTTTCAAGGCTCATGTGTGTCCTTCTGCAACCAAGCAGTACAGCAAACTATTTTAACCAAATAAGCCAACTCAAATGTATGTAAACTTATTCTTTTCACTTGCTATTATCGAAAAATCATCCCCAAAATAATCCCTGCGCTAGTGCAGCACACATGGCTAGTTGAGACTCATTTGCAGTCCATGTAATCGGACATGTAATTTGTGTCTCTCCTGTGCAGGGCTGTTTGAAACTAGAGTGGCTGAATATTTGGACTCTTCTTCTGACCCTGAACCGAGCGGAGTCAACAAGTTTCTTAAAGGACTGGGTGAGTCTTATTCTTTCCTTTATTATTATTATTATTCAAAGTGTAACTTCAACTAATTATTTGCTTATTTCAGGAAACAAGATGAAGCTTCTACAAATAAAATGAAAATGATCAACCAACATTTCTGTTTTCCAATGTAATCGTAATTTAAGGAGGAAAACGTGACATTTTAGGAAGTAATTGTTTTCACTGGAAATGTATTCTAGCTTCTGTATGTTTATGAGTGACTCAGGACAGTATGTCTCTGTGGAGCTGTAACAAATATACCTTCAAATGGACCTCTCTCGTCAACATTTGTGGTTGCAATAATTGTCTTGTTTATGTTTTAATATTGGAATCTTTTCAGTTTATATTTGCATGAAAAGTGTAAAGTGGCATGTTTAGGACTAGTCTGATTTTGTACAAAGTCATCCACGGCAAAATCTGAAGAAAAGCTGTGTTTATTTGTCTGCGTTTGATCTAAAAGTTGAGAATTATTGTCTGATCATAACATTTCAGTGTTAGACTGAGTCTCCTCTTACGGAATCTGGATTTGTACATATTTATTGTTTTTTTTTTCTTAGATATTTTGCACATTGTTGAGAACCTGTGAAAAACATTTTGAGACTTTTTTTTTTTTTAAATAAATAGTCATGGGTCCCGCATAAGTGGGCTACAAGAACAGCAATGCATTCACGGTCGTCTTTTATTTGTTCATGCACAAACAAGACAATTTTAAAAGCTGTTGATTCCTGGCTTTCATTCTTTCACTAGATCTTAACAGATGTAATCAGTAACGCGGGTAATCATATATCTGTCTTGGACGGACTAAAAATGGACACCAAAGAAGCCGCATGATTCTAGCACAACAGGTAATGGTAAGAAGCAACTATGTCCTCTCTGAGGCACCGTAGTCCGCGTGTTTCAAAATGCAGGCGCTTTCATCTTAGATTGTTGCATTCTATTAGTACACCACTAGATGGCACTAAAGTCTACCTTTAATGTAAAGTAGTGGACATGATTACAAAATGATACTTCCAAGAACGAATATGTAGTAACTTAATACCTTAAAAGAACCAGTTCAAAATCATGTTTGTATACACGCGAGTAAAAAAGTTGAATCTGTTTCAATGCCGTGGTCACATTCATTGATTCATTGTTCAAATCCGGACACGTCTCATGTTTGCGCTCGTGCTCATGTTACTGGCCATAGTTGTGTGACGCACGAGACTCCACTCAATTACAACTGATCACGTAGTCAGTGTTGTTTTTAAACATACTAAAAACTGACGGGTCAAAATTAACCAAAATGTGTGAGTGTTAAACCCAGCCACTCGGTTATAATACTGTCCCAACACCACCAGGAGTTAATTTGTACCAGTCAAATATTTGGAAACCGATTCAAATTCATATTCATAAATTCAAGCTTTTGACTTTTGATAATGCACAGCTGTGAACTGACTGAGAAAATACAAAGATGTGCAAAGCTGTTATCTGGGCAAAATATGCTAACTTTGAAAGATCAAAATTATAAGACATTCTGTTTTGATAAACTTTTTTTGGGTGTGTTTACGAAATAATTCCATCAACATTAACGTCAACTTAAGTATTCATCTACAATTTAGAAAATGTTTAAATCATGAAAGTATACTGAATTCGAGGGTATTAAAGGAGAAATCAAAGTGTGTACGGTAAATTGCAGGAATCCAGTACATGACAATAGTGATCTGGAGCTCGCAAGGCGAACCTGTGAACCCACTTTGAGCCATGTGCACCAACCACGTCTTCCCGATGTCCCAACAAAAAATATTGACTCACACGAGGACATATTCCCTCCCTTGTCTGGATGGATGTCAACTTGGAGGGCCAAAGTTGATTTGGATTCGAAACGTGACTGTATTGCAGGGCCATAAAGATAAGTCGATGGCCTAAACTGATGTACAGTAAATGGCACACTCAAGCCTTGATAGCTCATCTCACTCGTACTCGAGTCGGGTGTTTGTTTGGACCAAAACATTTAATGGTTTCTGCTGAGTGATTAGAAATCTAGGCCACAGAGCCTTTGTCTGTTTACGTTTGGATGTGCTGCAAAAAGAATTACCATGTTGATTTATTGTTCTCTCACACACAAGAAGAGAGACCTCTTTCTCTGGTTTGACTTTTTTTTTTTTTCACCCATGAATTTCTTTGTCAGCATGTTGTGAACATAGTTTGGGGTCCGCCCATGGCACATTGCCAAAAATGATCAGAATATACCTAAAAGGCCACAAAGTCGAGTGCAGGACTTCACCAAGGCAGAGAGTGTCATATTTGTATTTGTCCGGAGAACAATAAGTGATTCAACTTCAAAACCATCGAAAAATGTGACAGACAGACTACAGAAAATGATCTATTGATTGAAACTCAAAGAAGCCATAACGGTTCTTGCTTTGTGGTTGCACTGAAAAATCCGTGATATAAGTACCATCCATTCAGTTTCTCTAGCATTTGTGGTCCTGGGTGAGCTGGAGCCAGCCAGACAGATACTTCCAGATGACATGGAGATTTTACATTGCATACTCTCACGTGCATCCCCTGAATGCAACTCATCCTGACAAATAAATGATTTAGTCGAAAACTTATCAATCTCTACAGTCAGGAACACGTCATGAATCCAAGGTGTTCCAGGAAGAGAAATGACATTTTTCTTCGCTTGTTCCTCAAAGTGGCGGTGATGCAGCAAATTAAAACACTCCTATCCTGATATGACACTGCATTATTTGACATTGGGTTAATAAATAACCCAACACGTAGTATTGAACACTCACGTTTTTGCCGTTAGCGGTGACCATGAAATAAAAGAGGAACATTCTGGTAATCATGGCAAACAATGTCCTTGTCGTTTGGGGCTTTAATTAATTTAGTTGAATCATTTTAGGATTATATTTTCCCAGGATGGAATGATATTAGAGTGCATCCAAAAAGTATTCACAGCATTTCACTTTTTCTATATTTCATTATGTAACCACCTCATCACAAAGTAGAATGTATTGTATTCATTTTTCCCCTCCTCAAAATTCTATACACAAATCCAATTGACTGGCAACCGGTCCAGGGTGTACCCCGCCTGTTGACCGAAGACAGCTGGGATAGGCTCCAGCACACCTGCGACCCTGGTGAGGTTAAGCAGTTCACATAATGGATGTAATTACCTTTGTTTCATGTTTAAATTAGGCAAAAACAGCCCCAGGCAAACACTTGACTTCTTTGAACAATCTGCCTCTTGTTCTGAACTATGCTTGTAAGTCAATTTTTTTTTGCTCAAGACTCAAGAGAATACATCACTCGGAAATTGGGGTTGCATTGTACATGCATAGTCGCAGTTTGGCATTTATGAGTTTTTTTTGTTGTTGTTGTTATTTGCTAAAAAAACGGACCTACTCCCTTTGTTTATGCCTTGGTCTTGGTCCTTATTCCCCACACATAACAGGGTTTCCTTGTACCAGAAAGAATAATCAAGCCAACAATTTTCATCAGTCACCAAGACCTTTCCAGCCTATGCCGTCTGACTGACACTGTCGACTTGCTGCCACTCACATTCACACACAATTCCAATTTAAGGGGCAATTAACAATTAAGCAAGTCAATCCAACCTAAAAAACATGCATGTGGAATGTGATAGCAAGCTCCACGTATGAACAATGACTTTTTAACCCCGACCCACACACAAAGCTTGACTCTGGCTTGTCATCAATCATCCCTTAGTTTTTTTTCGTCCCGTCATCAATTTAGAGATTAAATGTATCTCTTTGTTTCAGGGTTGAATTGCTGTAATTGATCGTCTTCGCCACTAGGTGAGCAACGATACTCATCTGTTAAGAATGGAAAAGAAAACATCAGGAGGTGTCCGGTGAAATACATCGAACACATTTCTTGTTTGATGAGTTTGCTAATACCGAGAAGCATGTAAAAAAAAAAAAAAAAACAAAAAACAATAACACGAAAAAAACAAACAAAAAACTTTGTGACTTGTAATTTGAAACGAACGGCAGCCTAAACTACTTTCTAAGTATCCTTCGGGGACGGGGGCGGGTGGGGGTTGGAATGCGAGTGGGAAACCAAACTTGTATTTCCTTGAAGCCTTCCTCTCCTTTGCCTCAAGTCGCCACCTCAAGGTCGGGACACGGTTCGGAAACATTTGCATAAAGCCCTAAAAAGGGAGATTGTCTGGGCAGACGAGGTGATAACGACCAACGAGCACACGCGAGGAGGAAGGCCAACACACACAGGCAAGGGAGGCAGGCACACCCCCGCACACACTCGACCTTATGCGCCAAACTCGAACAACAGAAGCTGCCAAAGAAAGACGACCCGGTAGCACAAATCCGCTTCTTCATTTTCTTTGAGGGGACGCAAGGACGCCAGAGGACACTTGGATTCCAGGTAAAAATATTCTTCATCACATCTTGATAGGAATTGCTTTTTTTACAGTGTTTTCCAACTCAATTTTTTTTAGAGATCTAGATATAAGTGTAACAAAAAAAAAAGAAAAGAAATAATTAGAATGTCGCTGTAGCGTACTTTGCAACTGTGTCAAACTGTAACTGCATTGTAGCGAGCTAGAGTGTAACTTCCAAAGTCGAATTCCTCAAAAATGGTGCAATCTGGAGTTCAACCAAAGTATCCTGGAAAAATATACATAAAAAAACAAAAAACGGTTGTGTGTGACATGGATGTGTGACAACAGCACCAGCATCCGAAGGACTAACTCCACATTGGTTAATGACGCTATCATGCAGAGGTAGGAATTTGACAACATTCTGGCAGAGGTAGGAATTTGACAACATTCTGCCAGTCCATCATTCGGCATCTGGGTACCCATCCATCATTGTCAGGCGGTCATTGTTTTCAAGCTTTTCCAAACTGCAATCATCAGTCGATCAGTCCGTCAGGTTACGTTAAGTATTCTTCTGTCATCGCTTCTGTCACTGGTCCACCGGTCCGCCAGTCAGTTTGTCAGTGGTTGGTTGGATGCATGGATGGATGGATAGATCTGATAATGAGGTACAATCTCTGGCAATGATTGCATTAGTCAACTTTTTTTTTTTTTAAATCAGAGATGCAAGCAAACTTTTCTAGTGGAATTTTTTTGTTGCACTAATTTATAATCTGCTCTCGTTTTTTTTCTCTAGCATCTAAGGTTTTCATAATACCATTAATAATAATATAGTAATATATTTAGAAATATTAATGAATTGAGGGTGAGGTTCAGCAACAGGTGGAGTCATTTTCCGAAAACATCATGGCTACAAATTACAATGCAAAAATCTTTATTGCACAAGCTCTGATAGGTCAAACTTCCAAATAAAAAAAAAAAAGAAAATGTCAGCAAACTATATTATGCTAAAAGGTAAAGACATTTTAAAAATCAAAAACACTTGAAAACATGAAGCCATCTCTGATGAACATTTCGTGTAGATCAGTGTTATTGTTATAGCAACCAACGTAGCATTAGCAATAATGAAAACAGCAAAAATGTGTCAGTATTGTTGAATCGCAGTGTTATGCAAATATGTTTGGTTTTTTTTTTGGATGAATGGTTAACTGGACATTCCTTTAACTTTGTTATCTAAAATGTCAGAGTTTACGCAGCCTACAGTTTAAAGTAGCACCCGCATCTGTTTATCATTATGTCACTACATGAAAGTTTTTTTTTCTGCCCTCTCAGCCTGCATGCTCAGCTCCACTGACTGGTTTGTGTTTACTTTATTTACACTGTGCAAACTTAGCTCTTATTTTTTTCCCTCATCTCTTGCTGCTAGCTACTTTAGTTGAGGCTCTTTAAACAACAGGGTGGATCAGGTTCCAACTGGCAGGTTGAGCACCTTCATCTTAATCAATCATCCCCGCATTTGGCAGTTGAGCTGACGGCGAGGCTCCGATAACACAAAGGAGAACAGTTACAAAAAAAAAAAAAGATTGAAAGTACGTGTCTGTAGGTCAGTGGCACAGGGAGAAAATACACAACAACACGTGCAGGTGATAAGTCCAATGATTATCACTCAAAGGGGTGAAACGTTGGCGCTTTTGAGTCTTCGCAGTTAATATTTGACTGTGCTGTATACTATTCAGCACTTTGGCCAAATAAAAACAGAGCCTGTCTTTTCTAGAGTACATCTACTGCATTGTCTCCTCTTACTCTGACTGTGGTCAAAACAACTCCACCTAAGTACTGTAAACGCGATTCAAACATTTACAACCTGAATCCATTTCAATTTCAAGAGCTTTGCCTGCTTTTTGAAACAAAGAGCATTTGATCAATACAAGTGCCCCCAATAATCAGATGCGCCTTTTTAATACAAATCAAAGATAATACCAAAAGCAGAGTTAACTACTGATTAAACGAAGGAAGGAGACAAGCATGACATCTAAGGATATTTTTACCTCCTTGTGGATGTTGTGAAGGCTCTATATAAATAAAGCTGTTTTGTATTGTATTCACTTTAGCGTAGCTCCATCTAGTGGATGCATCACGCAACCGCAGCCACTATTGTAGCTTCTATTCTATGTGCCCGATAATGCGGTGTGCCCTATATATGAAAACATCATTGAAGGTGCGTGCGCCTTATAATCCGAAGCGCCTTATAGTGCAGAAAATACGGTAATTTCAATAAATTCCAACCACATGGCAGGCTGTGTAAATAAAGTGGCAAAAACACACTGTCAACTCATGACATTCACATTCCTGTGACTGTAACAATGTTTCAGTTTATTGCTGTCTTTGTTTGTTTTTTTTTTTTTTAAACCCCCAAACTTGCGGGCGTCTGCCGTCAAGCTTGTTGGCACTGATTTCACTGCTTTGGCCATATGTGTTGATACGCTACCCTTGCGTAGTGACGAGATCTCACGTGACACAAGAGGTCACATGAATTTATGAGAAAAAGACGAATTAAAAGGATTGATTAATGGTTTTATGAATCGATATCGGGCTAGGAAGAAGGAAATTGAATTGATTCAATCAATCGATTTTTTTTTAGAGTCAGCCCTATTTGATAGTAAAAGAGTGTATCAGGTTTTTGCATCCTTTGTTGGCCATGTGGAGCCCACTGTAACACTTCAGTTAAATGATGACAAGCATTTATGAGCACAGTGTAGCCTCAGGTTCCAATTTTCGAGCTAAAGATAACGGCCAGAAAATGGAAAACATTGCAGGACACTTCATTAGCTTAAAACAAAGTCAAAAATGACACAATATTACAGCCTGACTTATTTTTTTTTTCTTGTTACATTGTGATGATGAATTCCCCGTGATTAAGTCTATAACCTTGCTTGACAAAGTGGAGCCTTTGATATTCTATTGAGCCAACAGAAGCGATACAGATGACACGGTCGACAAAGCTGCAATTTGTAAAAGTTTGAACTCAGCTGGCAACGGTTTTGTGCTAGCCTTCATTAACCACATCCAAAAGATTGGAGCTTTTCATCCATCACTGGGGGAAACTTAAAAAAAAAAAAAAAAAAAAAAAACTAAAATGCCTCTTGTGTTCTGTGCAGCCAGGGGTACCTTATTGTGTGGCCAGTAAGTGAATAAAATCCTGTGTTAATAGAGTGGCATCAAAGGTCAGACTGGGTTGCTATCACAACTGCTTTCACTTCACTGGCTTCGATCAACACGAGCCGGTGTTGTTATTTACTTAACAGGTCGGGTTTGCAAAAACACGCACCTCCACCCCAATTTGAATCTTCTTGTCTTTGCAAATACACACCCAGAAAAGCTGCTTCTTCTCAAGCCGATTACTCAAATAACGTACTGTAGGTCATAATGATCCGATGTTTATCGGGACATTGCATAGAAATGGCAACGAAGCAAAGAAATACCAATACCAAGGTCGGTTCAAACTACAATGCTGAATCGTTGAACAAAAAAGCTGAACATGCAACAATGTGCATACTATGTTACGAGGCCTCTGTGTGTCAACAATTTACCGGGTGGAAATTCCCTCAAAAATATTCCACTGGGTTGAAAAAAGGTTACATTTGGATCATAACTCGTTGGATTTTCGACACCAACTTAAACCAGCCTTAAAAAAAGCTCTTTTGTTCAGTCAGTGTTGTTGAACTGTTAACTAAAACCTCTGAAATTGCTTCAATATGCATACTGGACAATGATAAAAAACACACTTGCGGTATATGAGCACTAAATCTTTGTCCTCCTGAACCTTCGAACCTTAAAGCCATCCTTCAAACTTTTTCCCTCTTCGGAGCACATGTTTTAAACACATGCTAAAACGATTGCAAGGTCTCACTTGGTTGTTTTAGTTTCAGCGTTTTGGTGTTTAAACTGAAACAATTTGCATCCATTCACATTTAAAAACGTGTGGTGTACAGAATGTGAAGACCGAAATGATTTTTTTTTTCAAAAAGTTCCTCCCAAAGCGGGATGAAAAGCTCCAATCTTTTGGCTGTGGTAATGGAAGCCAGCAAAAACTGCTGCTAGCTAAAGTGCTGCTAGCACTTTAGCTAGCAGCATCTTTGAAGACTGTGTTATATTTAAATGATTTGGCATACGCTTGTGATGGATAGAATAACTGGAATAATTATCGGATCTACTTTGTCAGGCAACCTTATTGATTATGAATGTTAGTAGTGTATTGTCGCAGAGACAGGCAACTGTCATTATCATAAATGGGGCATGACTGGTGGTCCGTTTGTCTTGCTTGATGACTATATTTCGCTAATCTTACTTTGCTTAAGACTCTCTGTACTTACAGGTACGTAATGTACTCAATGTTTTTGGTAATAGTTACTTGTTGGCGGAATGGCTCAAACCACTGGCGACCGTGTGTCTTCTTACAATGGCCGATAAAGATGATTCTGATTCCTCATGCTTATTTCGATTGACTTGCATTCGTCAGCCCCCTCAACGCTGCACAACCACTCCAGTGAGAATCGGAAGCGGCCAGTTAAATATTTGTCTGACACACTTTTGGATAAGTCATACTTCACTGGAAGCTATTTGCATTTTGTACTTGGTGAAAGGGGGGCCGACCATCATGAGGAGCAGAATTTTTCTCTAAGGGAAACTTTGGAGGGGGGGGGGGTGAAAAAGTGTGCTACTTTCAGCAGTTTGAAGGGGGAGAGCCAAGCTGATCAGACAGTTGGGATTTTGCATGCACATACCATAACAGTCATATATATATATATATATAGAGAGAGCGAGAGAGCAAGAGAAAGAGAGAGAGAGAGAGAGAAATAAAGAAAAGAGAGATCAAAGCAGGAATCCTGAGAGTAGATTGAGCGATTGTGAGCAAGAACAGGCAGTGACTTTGTTGCAGTGCTGAGTGTCCAGAAAGGAACACCTGCTGGAAGCAACAGAAACAACACTGGAATTGAATCTCATTTGAGGGCACCGTAAAGCCAGTTACTGGATGCTGGAAGAACTGGTTGACAGACGAATGATTTGGCAGACTAATAAGGGAGCTTTATGCATTACTCTGGTGTCTGTCAAACTCTTCAGATGGAGCCAAAATAACAAATGCCATTATTTGTGTGTGTTTTTTGTTTTTTTTTATATTATAGACTAGTTCAAATTGTTACTGTCCACAAGAAGACAAATTATTGATGTTGTATTTAATCCCAAAAGAAAAAAAAATGTTAACATTCATTAAATCTATTAGTGGTTACACTAAACTTCCAAATCAGATTAGCTTCATTGTCATTGTAAAACAGGGAGCAACAAAATAGATCACCAACAGGGGCACACAGAACATGAATCTGCCCGGTAGAAGAAAAGAATAACATAAGAAACAGGGAGGGGAAAAAACAACAACCCCAAACTAAGCTCCTGTAAGGGGAGCACAGTACGGATTTTGGGGAAAAAAAACAAAACAGAAAACAAACAAAAAAAAAACAACCCTCAGCCAACAGGCATACGTTCTTATATTAATTTATTCAGCACTTTGCTCCCTTACTTGACCCAATGTGAACTAAACCGTACCCATAAAACGAAGGTACATACCAAACTCTGATTTATGGTGTATCGTTAAGACCGACCCCCTCAGGGCAACCTATTTGATTCACTCGCATTCACTACGACAAGCCGGATGCATCACGATAAGTGGAACCTCCAATTTTGTTTGACCCCGAGGTGGTGGCTCAAAATCAGAAGATCCACACTGGATCTTAATTACTCGCATAGAGAGAGAAAACAAGAACGTGTTCAACTGGGCATGACTGGCAATAATGCATGCTTGAGCAAATCAAATCATCTTGAGGCTAAAAGATTGTGTAATACTAAACTAACAACTTGCTACTTTCTTTGTTGTCTTAAGGGCGGTTGAGGAGTCAAGGGCAAAGCAGGAGGAGGAGGAGGAGGAAGAAGTTCCAATCGGAGCGCTTTGGACTTTATTCTTAAAAATGGAACAGTCGCCGCAGATTTGGCACACGCAGGCGGACCACCCGGAGGCTACCGGCGAGCCCCAAAAGAAGATGTCCATCACGAGCCAGCTGGAGTGCCCCATCTGCTACAACACCTACGACAACGTCTTCAAAACGCCAAAGTTGTTGACGTGCACCCACACCTTCTGCCTGGAGTGCCTCTCCCGCCTCATGGCCATCTCGCCGGCGGAGCACGACGGCGCCGCTGAGGGGACGTCGCATCTCTTTTGCCCTTTCTGCCGCCACAGCACCACATTGCCAGAAGGGGGCCCCCCGTCTCTGCCCACCAACCACGAAATGCTGCACAAGCTGCCCGGCCACCAGCAGCAGGAAGAGCCCGTTTGGCTGGATGGGGAGAAGCTGTGTTACAAAAGCAACAGGCCGGCGTCCGACAGCCTCTCGGCTTTGTGCATCTGCATCGACATTGGCGCCGACAAGCGGGGCGGTGCTCCGGTTCAGTCGCCGTCTCAGAATTCAGGCCTGCTGGACCGGATGGCAGACTGGAAGCGGATGATGCTCTTCGTGGTGCTTATGGTGCTGCTGGTAATTGTGGTGCTGTGGCCGCTGCAGTGTATATTCAGCACTGGAAACATGCGATGTATGCAGATGGTCCGCCCGAACCGCACCGCCGTCACCGCGACCATGGTCCCCGCTTTTGACCCACTAAACCGACCTGCGCGTCTGTCAGAATAGACATGAACAATAATCGACAGGGGGCGGGGACTTGACTCCGTGTGTAGTTTGCGGATCACATCAGAGGGATGGCCTGAAGAAAATGCTCTGGAAATAGTTTCACTTTTTGTAAATAGTTTCACTTGTGACGGGCTCACTGTGTTTTCCATTTGATTTTCCTCCTGCAGCACTTGGCCACAAGAGGGCGCTCTCCTGAAGTTTTTTTTTTAAATCTGCTGACACCCCCTATTGGTAGTCTGGAAAAATACACAATATACACTTCATATTTCACTTTTTCCGCAGACTATTTTGTTGCTTTTCAATGAAAGGCTCATTTGTCCAAATTTTGTGGGTCTAAAGAAAAAATGACTCCGACATATACTTTATTAATCCCATAAAGGAAATCAGGGAAGCAATTACTTTCAATTGTGCTGTTATTGCTGTCTAGGATCCATTTTATGTTAAGAAATTCAATCAAGAAAATGTGAAATTCAAAAATCTGGCTCGCTAGAATTGAATTGGACAGACACGCTTTTCATTGCAGAGCAACACTTTGAAGGTTTGGCATCATTTAATATCTTGACTTTATTAACTGAGCCAGATGCAAATGGACTTGATCTACGCTGCATTCCGACAGGAAGGGGAAACGCTCTTTGTTGCACTTTAATCCACATTTTTGCAGATTTGCTATGGGATGTTTTTTTTTTCTCCCAAAATATTTTATGACCAAGTTGATTTGTATTTTTATTTTATTTTTTTGTGGGTAATAATAAATGAAATGAGAACTAAAATGGTGCCTTGGCTGGCTTTACACCACTGACAAACCACCTTTGTGGGCCACAAACACAGACACACAAAAAAAGCAAAGCAGACACATGAGGTTCAGGTGTTAATGTTTTCCTTTCGAAAATGTACATGACTGCGAATGGGCAAATTCGTCAGAAAATTATCAGCTCGTACGAATGTGCTTGTCCGCTTGTATTCCGCTGTGATGAACACTGACATCACTCAACATAGGGACTTTCCAGAGCTCAAGTTTGGTGGCCTTAAGGGCTGAAAAAGTTAAATCTGTGGTGTGTTAGCGAGATTCTCCTTTCAACTGTCACCGCCGCAATTAAGGTGAACGGAGCATAACGTGAGTCACGATGCGATACCTGAATGTGATCATGGAAACGTTCTCATCGTAAAACAGTCATTAACTCTAATGCCATCCCACAAAGAACCTTTGGACTCTTGACTAAACACAACAAAAGCCTTGTCAGGAAGTCGCGATAAAAGAGTTCTTGTATGAAGCAAGAAGGGGTTTTCTGGGCAGGCCATCATGATGACAGGCGGCGGATAAAATTTTACAATACGAGTCGCGAGGGAACCGTCATAAAAGCGCAACTTCCTCAATAACCGGTGGGGAGGAAAAATATTTGCCTAATTCGTTCACGTGAACAAATAGTGTGTGGTGGAGCGTGGCAGACGGACAAACCACAGAATGCATTGCTGTACCGAGAAACAAGATGTAAAAGCCAGTATTTTTTTTTTTTCACTTGAGTTCATACGGCAAGATAGCCATGCATATTTTTGGCGGGGGGACATTTCAAGAACATACGAATGAAGTTGGAATTCAGACAAATCCAGAAGTGTAGTACATTGTGCAGTGGTTCTTAACCTGGGTTCGGTGAGTCAGTCTCAGGGGTTCAACGGAGTCTCTGCCATGGAGGGTAAGACACAAGCGACTCAACATGTTAATTAGTTATGACACGCCCGCTTGGCCATCACTGGCTGCAGATGTTCACATGACATCGCTTGTCCAATCAGTGCTGTGGGAAATTTTGTCGCTTAGTAGTCAACGTGTGACTGTCGAGATATAAAAGTATACCTGTACCGGTACTTATCTCTTGAAATTGTATTTTCTTTTTTCTGTTTTTAATGAATGCGTTTTTTTTAATATTTTAAATTTGTAAAAATAGATATATTTATTTTTCACTCATGAAGAGTTTGGTGAATGTGAATATTAACTGGTTGGGTTCGGTACCTCTAAAAAGGTTAAGAACCACTGACATAGTGTTTGTTAAAATATCCGATGATCCATTTATTCTGTAATTTAAAACGCCTCACATTGAAGACAAAAAGCCAAGACTCAGCATAACATATACAGTAAGTTTATTGTAACAAACCACGCTCGGCAACTTTTTGCCTCTGCGAGCGGCGGCTTGTTCAGCTTGAAGGCAACTGAGCAGAAGCCAGTGCGAGAACAACAGGCAGGACTCACGTCAGAACATACGAAAGGAAACAAAAGAAATATCTTCAAGTAAATACACAGTGAGGGGATGAGCAGAAAGTACACCGCGACCACCCCCTTGAAAACTGGTTCAAAACAGGAAACGCAACAAGAATAATAATATACATTCAAACAAACACAATCAAAACAAAACATTTTAACATTTGAGAAAAAAAAAACAAATGTCCAAGATTCAGCATTTTCATACTTTCAAGTATTGATGTCACAACATGTCAAAGAAAGAGGCCAAGTGGAAGAAAAATGAAACAAATTCAATGTGTGACAACGTTCATAAATACGGGAACACAACCAACCCTTTCCCAATGAAGTCAGGGTACACGAGCCACGGTTTCGAACACACTGGGAAGCAATGCCATGAAGGTGGCAATTGTAGAAAAACAACTATCAGAAAAGATGTCAATATAACAAGGTGACTTGTGAATGTGGCCCACAATAGCAACTTGATCATTTTCAAAATAAGGCTCTCTGACACAGCAACCTCATGGGACTGGACCTCACCTTAGGGTCAGATAGTATTCCAGATTTTTTTTTCTTGCTTCACCACTTCATTTTGTGAGAGTGAACATGCAATTTAGCGTCTGCCTCGTTGAGATTTTAGTAAATCAGGCCCTAAAAGTGTATTGAGCAGAGACCGACACTGTTTCAGTGAAAAGCCAAAAATGTTGACGAAATGGAACAACGCAGCTAAACATGCTTTCTACTTTTCCCCTATTCACTGTCAAGACTGCGTTAAGATACAAATATATTAAATATAAGTTACAAAAACAAAAGAAATTCAAACCACTGGTGAGCCGAGCAGGTGATGTTTTTTTATCATTAAAACTCGGATTACGCAAGAAACCTGACTCACTTGTCATTAAGAGCTATAATGACAAAACCTGGCGGGTTACTTACTTTTATTTTCCTTTCATAATTTTTGTTTGCATTTTGTCATCTGTTATTGTATGTTTTATATATGTTCAATAAACAAACAAACAAACCTGGCGGGTATCACTTAAAGCATGTCAATCGGTCTATTCCAAATTGAATCAATTTCATTCGAGCTCTCTTTACTTTTTCTTTCACGGATTTCGAGCCTGGTCAAGTTCCACTAACATGGTTGCAGTTGTTTTTGACGAGGACAGGGGCTAAAAATAGCTCACGGGCTTGCTCGGTTCAGCGCTCCAACCGGCTTCCTTATCGCATCAGTGACGTAGACTTTGCGCGCTCAGCTATCATCAAGCCTGGATTACGGCTGTCGTCTAAATTACTTTTTGGAGACCAATCTATTCCTCAATCTCGGGCAGATAGCCATCTGGTGCGGCGTAATCGCTATCCCGGGTCTCCTTGTGACCCTTGCCTGGGGCAGATGTTGAAGCGCATCAGACTTGATGATTAACGAGGACGGCGAGTCAAACTAAATCCACAGATGGCTACTTCTCATTCAGGAATCCTTTCATGCCTTCTTCCTGACTAGTACTGGTTATGAGCTAATTGGTGGCCACGCCAAAAACAAAAAAATGGTAAAATGTACAGTCAAAGGGCAAGTTTGCTAGCAAGAGTTGAATGTGTCCTAGCCTCCGTTCACTCTTTCGTGCCCGGATCCTCGGGTATGTGATGAAAGGCCACGCCTCTCACTGACGAGGAGCGCACGTTCGTAATATTCGGTCATATGATAAAACTTTTTTTTTTAAACTGCAAACTCCACCTTAAAGTCAAACCGGACAACATAGTTGCCAGTGCTCATTTTACCGCAGATATACATTCATAATCAAGACATTTCCAGCTTTCTTCTCTAATTTTATTCCTGTAAAATGACATATATTTTCCGTGTCAATTTTTTTCTAGCAAAGCAAGTATTTTCCTGTAATACAGTACAACAATATTATGCCGTTAGCATAACAACACTTTGTTCTTGATGAAATTATGACATTTTTCTTGTCATATTGAGACATTTTTCAAAATAAAAGGGTTATTTTTCAAATGCAAATTACAATTTTATTGTTGTTAAATTTGGACCTTTTCATAATATTATGACTGACTTTTCACAAAACTTGTTTTCTCAATGAATTAAATTATATTTTGACTCTCCACACACAATGACAACATTATGTCTCATAAACCAATGTTTTTCCAAGAGTATTTTATGTATTGACACATTCTTTCTTTTGAGCGTGGCCATAACGGAAGCTTGTGTTATTAAATAACACAAGATACTATTTTGTCAGGTATCATTTTTGGCCCATGCTGAGATATTAAGTGCTGATAAAATTTGTGAACCGGTTCCAAATAAAACTCTGGCTGTTTTACACTCCAAGCCTGTAGCTGAACGATCAAGATTACATTTCGGCGCGATACATTTATTAGGAGAAACAATAGAAAGCCAGACGTTGATGATTTGTTTTTTTTTGTTATTATTTTTTGATGAAATGACAAAACCAGTAGCAGCCTCAGTGAGGATGTCTGTGAGGTGACCTTGCTTTGACCTTTTCTTGGCTCCGATCCCATACTTTTGTGGCCTCGCAACCCCTCGGTTGAACCTTCATCTTCCAAGTAAGAGAAGAAATGTAACATCTTGATTCGAGACAACAAGGCACTTTCATTGATTAATAGAAGGAAAGGCTTTTGGAGGCAGCAACGGAAATGGAGGAAAAAGCAGAAGGGTCAGGAGCGCAATGCGTGACAAGTCCTCCTCCTTCTTGGAGATTTAACTCCAGAAGCGGAAGCAGAGGTTCCAACTTGAGAGAAGCCGCTCACCACAGGCAAGGTGCACTCTCTCGACAGTACACTGCGATCCCGCCTCCCCCCACCAGAGGGATTTTTGGGCGGCAGATGAGGCCTCCGCTGACACTGAAGTGAACGGACAAGACAGGCAAGTGGTGTTCAAGGCCGCTGTCTCTTTGGATTAAGAGGACAAGAAACCGACGTCCTTGATGAGGCTTAGACATAATCAGCGTGCACTCGGACTTCGAAAGAGTAAACACTGTGGAAATTGAGCCAGATTCCACCTTTGTCATGCCGTGTTAAGCAGGGATGAATTAAGTTTCTGCGACAGTCTCCATCCAAATGATAAGCACACAATGTTTGTTATTATTGTTATTATTATTTTTTGTATGGCTTTCAGCATGACCTTTTAGTGACAAATCTTCATTTGTTTGGTCATTGTTGTTAAATTACAATCTGTGCTGCATGGCGAAAAGTCAAACGCCAGTGTACATGCAGGTCTGTGCTGCTTCTTTTACTGTACAGTACTGCAGGATTGCACCTAAGACTTAAAATTGGACATTTAATGCCAAACTTTACAACCAGACAGAATGAAATTGTCTTTACATATCAGGGATGGGCAAACTTTTGGTGTTCAAGGGCCACATTGAATTTTTACAATGGACAGATGGGCCAGGGCATCTGTACATGAGCTAAAAAAAAAAATACAAAAATAATTACAATGTAAATGTACAATCTGTCCAGTAAAGTACAAAGTTATCTTATTTTATTCATTACATAATAATGAATAAAAATAAAAATAAAATAAATAAAAATAAAAATCTTTTAAAAATATTTAAAAACAATTAATATATAATTTACCAATTACTTCACAGAATTTAAACATTTTAAATATGCATTGCATATAAAATGATCTATTTTACCACTAAAAACTGTTCCGCAAAGGGGGGTAGGGGGGGAGCTATTTCGAGCCTTGAAGAGTATTGCTTGCTTGCTTGCTTCGACATTTAACACAAAAGTCATCCGGAAAAAAAAAAAAAAAAGATTTGACACTATGATCTTGAGATTGCTGATGAGGAATCATTTTCCTGTTTGAATTTTGAATATAAACAATTAGAGCAGGTTTTCATCATCACCAGATGCCATTTTATATAATCCACGTTGCAAATGATACTCACAGAGAGGCTTGCGAGGAACACGTGCGGGTCGGCAGCGCTGGGTTTTACCTCCTGGTGTTACTGCTGAACGACGTCTGCGGGCTTTTAAAGTTGATGTTCTCGTACACGCTTGAAGAATCATCGTTTGTCATCCTAAAACGACACAGAGGGATAATATGCTTGCTTACGAACGCTTCTTATCGCGGGTCCTAATTCCTGCCCAGTTTAGAGATTGCAATTTTTGGCTCTATTTACCGGTTCTTCTTGCACGTGACACTTATTCACTATTACCGTTTACATTTTCTGAACCCATGAAACAACGTACAGCTACACGTCGATACACATGGATGAGGCTATGAAACAAACATAATACTGTTTTAAATATTTATGTTATGTAATATACAGGTGACAAATATATGGAATGCCGTATATTCCAGATGTAGTCGGATCATTTTGGTGTTGTCTGATGAAAACTTGACCTGAGCCAGCAGATAAGAATTCACCAACTACGTCCAACTCCCATGACATTACACATTGCCTATTTAAACGAAAGCAATCTTGCCTCGTGAAACATCATCGTTTTTTTTTGTTTTTTTGTTTTTTTTTGCAGTTTAAACTGCAGTGTGATTTCAGGAACATTTGAAAAGCGAAAGAAAAAAGACCCAAATTCAAATGTAGCAGAAAATCTTGCAATTTCGTTTATTTAACCCTTTCAGGGACAGCGGTTACTACAGTGGAGAGCTTATCATGTTCTCAGGTTACAGGTGATCATTATTGGTGCATGAAATATTTGCTAACTGGCAAAAAAGTGGGCATATTTTGCTCATTTTTAGACATTTGTACACAGGGACGGTGGCTCACTAGAAGGTTAGTGAGGCTCTGAGACTTTTCTGCTGGCCGACACATCACCAGGCACATTATTTATTTGTATTTTGCTTTGTACATTCAACCATCATGTGGACTTAAGCATAGATATGTTTGAACCCGAAAGCGGCACACAGTTACAAGCCCACTTAAGCCTCTTGCCGGCTTTTCATTGATAGCGGCCGCCAGAGGCATTTGACGTATGTCAAAAGTCACTTCAATACGAGAGTCTGAATCGTACTTACACAGACGAAGAGCGCGACGACGCCATGTTGAGTTTGGACCTTGAATTGGCCATTGGAGGATATTTGATGTTGGAGTATTCTCTCTCCTTCATCTTACTCTTCTGTAAAGTGACAACATTATGATCACGCAGCTGGACTTCATCCTCACTGACTGATTGGAATTCGATGGAAAAGATCCACAATGAAAACATGGTGTGGGTCACTTTGGAGACCTACTGGGAGGGTTCATGTTGAGTCCACCGATTTAGCTGTCATCAAATGTCCAGGTCCGGCGTGAATATTCTAAAGCTTTTAGAATTTTTGTGTTTGACAAGCAACCAGTCGAGTACCTGCTCTTCTTCCAATCTCTTCTGAGCTGTGTCTATGTACTGCTGCACGGCCATGTAGATGAACTTGTACTGGGCCTCTGTCTGTACCATGCCGGACCTCTGCTGCCGTACCTTCTGGATGGTCTTGGGGATGTCGATATCGCAATCAAGGCCTGAGGCACAAACACACACACACGCGCGCGCGCACGCGCACAGTATAAACACAGACAAAGTTCAGTGAGGATTCAGCACAAAAACCTTTTAAGACAAATGGACTCATGTCATTTCATGTGTTCAATATGATGGGATCAGTCAGGATATTTGATTGCGGATCAAGATGTCGTCGGGATGTGACGCAAAAGCAAAATAAATAAATAAATAAATAAAATAATAAAAATAAAAGTACATTGCATTGGTTAGCTACTTTAATGATCGAAATGAAATTGCGTAACTCTTGACCTGACAAAATTTTACGATGGAGGTTGTAACAGCAGCAGCTATCGAGAACGTATCATCGTGAAACCAAGGTCATAGAACAGCGCAGGGGCTTTTTCTTAATGGAAAGCATGAAACCCCCTCCCCACTTTCCCAAATTGGTTTCAGCAAGTCACTGGCATTTTGTCAAATTAAAGCTTCACACTTCACTTGTAATGTCTCTGATCCGATTTGTCACTAAAATGACTGAATGGGAGAAGAAAACTCAAAACAAACAACCTTTGCAATTCCATTCCGGTAGCACTGATTTGTGATAAGACCGTATTAAGTAACACATTTTAATCCGAAAAAAAAAAAGTGATCCTACCTTGGCGGTGTATGATATCAATGAGGATGTCAATGACAATAATGGTGCCAGTCCTCCCAATCCCAGCGCTGTGGGAACAAGAACGAAAGGTCTCATTACGTATGAGGAAACGAACCGTGTGAACAAAACAGATTTGGTCAATTTCGTTATTTCGGGCTGACTTTGATTTAGTTTGATTAAGCACGTTCGGCTAGCTCAGTTAATAGACAATAACAATCTTAAACTCAAGGCTCAGATGTGGTTAACAGGTTAAGAGATCGGCGTCTGACCAAAAAACAAAAAAACACAAGTCAAGAAAAAAACTCCACTGTAAACAATGCGCAGGGTGGGACAGCGAACGAGGTTGGAGTGATATGTGGACCGCCACTTGCGCAGGGATGATCTAAACCAGGGGTGTCAAACTCATTTTTGTCGCAGGCCACATTTTAGTTATCATTTTCCTTGTACGGCCATTACGAGTTAAACCATATAAAGAAGTCAACAATCACAGTTTATTCACCTATTGTTGAAGTTACTGTAATGAGAAGTTTGGTAAAAGCAAAAGGCTTACAGTATCACTATTATTTATTACGAATGAGGATTTGAAATTTTGGTCGAGATTTTAGCAAGCGTCATGAAAGTTGCCATCTTAGATTTGCTTTCGCGGGCCACATAAAATGATGTGGCGGGCCACATCTGGCCCCCGGGCCTTGAGTTTCATACGTGTGATCTAAAATGTTCTGGTACCTGCAATGGACGACGATGGGCCCAGATTCTGGACTGCTCCTCTGGGTCCGGTTGATCACCTCAAGAAACGAAAGGACCCCCCCGGGCTCGTTGGGAACTCCGTGGTCTGGCCAAGTCAGGTACTGGTAGTGTGAGACGTATCTCAGAGGTTCCCTCTGTGAGCATCAAAGTAAAAACTAAAACAGTAAGCTGGGGGGCATTTGATCCATCCTGGTTCAGTCTTCATTATAGAATATAGTTGTTCAAGATGGCGCCGAAGTTGGCGCCATCTTTTTGTTGTTTTTAGATTGTTTTGTCATATGGTGTTTGTAGTCCTTCGTGCGAACCCGACGTAGACTGTTTTTCAGCGTTTTGGCAACGACATTCGTCGAAGGGAGAACAATCTGTGCTGGATGGGTGCGCCTTCTTGGCAGCACGCGTGTACCAGCAATGATTTGGGTTTTGATGGGGAGGAATGTTGGCGCTATTTGACTGTCACTGTTGGACAGGCCCCTGGTAGCTTGTGTTTTTTGCATCTGTAATGGGCAGCATTTTGCACAGCCCCGTTTTGTTCAGTGGAGATGTCGGCACTGTTGGACAGTCTGCGTTAGTGCGGCTGGATGAATGGATGGCTTGTGAAGCCGAAGGTGAGGAGAGAGGAGCGTCGGCGCGGAGCACGGATGTGTACTTGGAACCGAGAGTCGCCGCTTGGAACTGAAGCGGATTTACATGGGACGAGAGAAGTGAACCCAACCAATCTCTTTTTTTTTTTTCGTCGATGGACGCTACAGCTTTGTGTTGACTTTCAAACTTAGCTTGTAGCAGACGTGTGCACATTTTAAGCATGACGTCGCTGATCCACCGGTGAAAGGACAGACACAAGGACACTTTCATCCAGAACTGCTTCAAACAACAGAGCGTATGCATGAGAAGTGGTTACTATTGCATGACTGTCTGTGTTTTAAGTTGTGTTATATTATTTTATTAGTTTATGTTCACTATTCTGTAAAGCGCTTTGTTTCAGCTCCAGCTGTTGTGAAAGCGCTATATGAATAAAGATGTATGGCATTGTATTGTATTGTATTGTATAATATGTCCCTCAGCACATGGTGTGTGGTTGCTCCAATAGAAAGAGAACGGAGGTGTCGAAAAGCAGATGTGTTTGGAAGGACAGTTAGGACAGCAAAGTTAAGTACTTTTGATAAAAAAATGATAAAAAAAATGTTCACTGCTTTTTTGGTGACGAAATTTGAACAGAACATGAATGCAAACGTATTAAGTGAAAAAGTCATCATCTTTCTGTATTTGCATTGTTATCCAAATCGGAATGTTTCCTTCCTTCATCAACACATTACCCCTCTCCAAAGCTGTGAACAACAGTCCTGTATGTTCCCTGCCATACTGCACCTCACAATACTTGTGGATTTCTAATTGGATTACATCTATTTCTATTTATGAGCCCCCCCGCCCCACGGAAGCATCCAGAGCCGACTACATATTGTTTTTATTGAATTTTATTCTTCCCAAGAGCTGTAACTGCACGTAACGGAGCAGAGCAGTACACCAGTTGTGCATGTTTACGGCTAACTGACTTGAAAATGAGTTACAGAACTTCTATTTGCTCATGTGGTTGCGTCTTTTAAAGCATGGCGGGGGGTGGGGGGTCATACCTGTCAACTTTTCGGAGCGCCAACCTGTATAAACTACCAAAAAAATCCTTATAAAGAGCAAAAAATCCTTACAACATACCAAAGCATTTTATATGTCAAAATAACGGCAGAAAAAAAAACCACGAAATATGAATGATATATTTGTTTCCTTGTAGAACTTGCTTGTACACTACCGAAGTATGCAATGAATACTCTGCTGTTTTCAACTAGGAACCACGTGATTTACTGGAAAGTTATCGGAAATTAAAGCATTCGAGTAGACTAGCACCATTCTGGGCAAAAGCAAACAGAACTACCTGTTAGGGGGAAAAAAAAAAAAAAAAAGGAAATTTTCAGAATCCGTATGATTTGTGCGATATGGCCATATATGTAAGATTCACCACAAAATCCGTATGAATTATGGGTAAACCATATAAGTTGACAGGTATGGGGGGGGGGGTCATTCTGAGTAGGGTGAGGCCCAGGATTCACAGATTTCCACTTTTCACTGCAGTTTTTGGAAACGAACCCATAAGCAATAAGGAGATGACAGTATATTTTATGCATACATAATATCACAAACAATTGTTTCGAAATGAGTACGGTTATGTGTTGAAGGCTTGCTAATATCTGTTCAATGTTTCCTTGAGAGCGAGCAGGCAAAGCACGTGTTGAAGGATTTTGTGCAAAGGGTTATATAATCTTGACCCCAGGTCAGTGTGTCAGCACTGATTGAGGTCAAAGCTTTCCCTACCCTGTCCAGATGGGTCACCTCCAACTCCGTCAGGTTGTAGTCTTGAGCTGGCCACTCTTCCACGTTTTTCACCTGCACCCTTCCAAACTCCACGGTTTTGTGAAGGTCAGGCCAGTAACGGACACATTTGTTCTACATCAAAGGAATAAGATAGCGGAACAGTCAGAGTGAGACGGGGGCGGGGCTGTGGCGGCAGCGGCGGGTTTTTGACGGAATTAGACAACCTAAAGAACTGGATCCACTCAAGCGGCTTTTGCAATCGGCTTAACTGTCATACTATCCTTGTTAGCCGTCTTCCTTATTTTGGCCCACACATGAACTAAAATAAGTAGCAGGTACGAAATGAACGAATGTGATCATCAACAGCACCGTAAACGGCACAGCGAAGCAATGCCTAAATGATATTACAGTGGTTCATTTTTTTCTTTTTTTACAAGTGAATGGCAATTAAGAATGTCCCATTATGGACATAAATGCATGCTCCAGTGCTTAATATTTGTGGTGTTGTCCCCCAAAAATGAATTATAACACTTAAAAATAACAACGATACCCGTGATCTCTCCATCTCCTTTGTGGTCATGACGATGACGCGTGTATTTTCCTGATACACCATCTTCCAGAAGTCAATAACTGTATTCTGCAGGCACCCTTGGGTGGCGATGAAGAATTTGTCCTCCTCCCCATGGCGCCCTTCTTCATGTGAGCCCTGCGTGGAAAAAAAACAAACATGTAAAGCTCTTGAGTCTCGCATTATATCATTATTATGAGAGTTCAAACTAAATTGACCAAAAAAAAAAAAATGTGGATTGTTCCCGGACTTCATGTGTTACACTTCATACCAATAGGGGGCAGCATATAACCGGGCTGATATTATGTCAAGCATGACCTGACTGTAACTTCACTTTCAACTGCCTCAAGCTAACCAAAGCAGACTCACTCTTATGTAGTTGGCGTTAATGTAGTCTGAACCAGGAACATCTGGATCTGCGTCTCGAATTTCAACTCGTGTCGTGTCAACTGAAACAAGCAAACAAACATAACAACCCATCGTTAATCCACAGTGCAGCTCTGGCGGACCTTCCTGATGTTCTCTGGCTGTCTGCAAAGTTATCTTCATGTGTTACACTTCATACCAATAGGGGGCAGCATATAACCGGGCTGATATTATGTCAAGCATGACCTGACTGTAACTTCACTTTCAACTGCCTCAAGCTAACCAAAGCAGACTCACTCTTATGTAGTTGGCGTTAATGTAGTCTGAACCAGGAACATCTGGATCTGCGTCTCGAATTTCAACTCGTGTCGTGTCAACTGAAACAAGCAAACAAACATAACAACCCATCGTTAATCCACAGTGCAGCTCTGGCGGACCTTCCTGATGTTCTCTGGCTGTCTGCAAAGTTATCGCAAACCACATCAGAGGCCTTGTCTGCTTTGTCTATTTGTGTCACGCTTTCTTTCCGCAGGAAGCCGGTGAGGCAGGAAACAGCAGTATGCTCAGCAACTCACAGGGGAGGATATTCTTGTATCTGTTTTTACTCTTGTTTTCTGGTTTCATGCCTTCCTTCCGGGGATACAGCAGCTTACACTCTTGTTGTTGAAGTACCTGTGGGAATCGGAGCAAGAGAAATGCTGTTTTCTGCCTGATTACGTGCAACGTACAAGATTAAATGTGACAAAACTGTCATGGTGACAAAATAGGACACCTGGGCCACACGTGTATACACGGTGAAAATGGAAATAAATAGATTCAGTGCACCGCGCCTTCCAAACTGCCCCCCTCCCCTCCAAAAAAAAGATCACTTTACCTTACCTTGGTTCCATTTCCACGGAAAGCGGGATTTTCTGGGATGACGGTGATCAAAGCAAAATTTTGGAACGGACTGGATGTATTGTGCCATTTTCCCCTGCTGCTTTATGTGAAAGCTTTCCATGACGCAAAATAAATAAATAAATAAAAATTTAAAAAAGTTGCTCCCTGATAAGATGAAGAATGAAGGCTCAGGAGGAATTACGGTCTTGCAGTCCATATACTTTTGTCCGCATAGTAATATACTGTATGTGTCCACTGTTCTGCGCTAAGTGGCTGGAAGAAACCAGAAGGTTCACCTGTCTGTCTAACTTTTGTTCCAATTTCCAAGACGGTTAAAAAAAATAGCGACATAGATACACTTTATTATCATTGTGAGGAATATTAATCTATTTCCTGCCTATTTTTTTCCCCAATATTGTGCACTTGTATATTTCGATTCCATTCTCTCGGTGGGCTTTAATTATTTGGTACTACTGCAGCCAATAGTTATCATGGTGCCAAGCAGTAATAAAGCAAAAGAGCATACTTTAGCTGACGTAAACAGTACTGGCGAACACGGATAATTAAAGTAGAATGAAATAATAAGGATGCACAATAACAATTTGAACCGATATTGAAAGCCGCCTCAAATACCACAACGTTGGGTTCTGATTACGGTCACTTTAAGACTCCAAGCGTCTGCTGCATGACGTAGGAGGTTAGATGGCGCCGCTGCGCGTGACTTCTGAAGTAACAGTGAGCCATTTGTTAACGGGGCTTTAGTTTTCCCAGAGCGCTTTCTTTGAAGCGGGGCTCAATTGGGTGCACAGGCCTCTAAATTACACAACGTGGTAACTGAAAAAGAATTATAGATTGTTCATGTATAACCAGCCAAACTCTCCTCGACTCTAAATAAAATCTTTAATTGAAATATTAAAACTTGGGCGAAAAAAATTTTATGAGCGCATGCACCACCCACTGAATCCCATTCACTTCAATGAGAGGTGAGAGCCGCAGCTGAAGCTCCTTCTACGGTCACCTGGCCCGAACATTTTGGGCTGCGCCAAAGCGCTTGGACGCCGGTGGGTGATGATCGAGCCGTGCGTTTTCCTTTTTAACGATAATGAAACCTTGGTTGCTGGATGCTTTAATTGTGTGGACTTCATCAACATTGGCTTACAATTGAAACTTTCAAAATCTCGGACAATATAGCCGACCGGCAGGACGTTCATGGATTGTCGGTGCGTCATGTGCACAAAGCAGGATATGAAGTGACATGCACCGAAAAAACAACATCAACAACAACAAAAAAAATACAAAACAACGGCAACGTACCTCAAACTCTTCCCAAAATCCTTGTTTGGGCTTCTCTGAATTGTCTGCTACCTTGTTGAGCTCTCGCACTCGATTCTCAATGTTGGCTGCGTTTATTCTTGTGGCGTTGAAGGGCTGTTTGAAAAAGGAGATGATAACAAAGCAAAGCAAAGTCAGCTGAGATGCCGCGTAACCCTAAACAAGGTCAGCAGTACAAAATGGGGGGAATTGATGATTATCTATTTGGTTATTTATTGTATTCAGCGACGTACACATTGAATGTGTAGCCTTTTTGTAGTATGTTTTGCTGTCGTTTTAGAGGGTTGAGGGAATGATGAAATTCCTGTCTATGTCGTGTGGCATGACACGTTTTTTCTTTTTTTCATCATGACATCATCCATCCATCCATTTTCTGATCTGCTTATCCTCACAAGGGGTGTGCTAGATCCTATCCCAGCTGTCTTCGGGCAGTAGGTGGAGTACACCCTGAACCGGTTGCCAGCCAATCGCAGGGGCACACAGAGACGAAAAACCATCCGCGCTCACACTCACGCTAAAGGACAATTTCAAGTGTTCCATTAACCTTCCACGCGTGTTTTTGGAATGTGGGAGGAAACCGGAGTACCCAGAGAAAACCCACGCAGGCACGGGGAGAACATGTAAACTCCACACAGCAAGGCCAGAGCCAGAATTGGATTTCTCGAACCATTTCGAACCATTGCATTTCTGTACTGTGAGGCCGACGTGCTAACCAGTCAACCACCGGGACAGAGAAACCAATGATTACTTTGCCAACTATATCTTTTCCTAAAAGTGAATTGGGAGGCTATTGACAGCAGGAGAATGAAACATCGTTAAGACATATTCAAGACGGAATACAAAAGAATTGGTAGTGAATTACTTTTTGTGTATCGAACCTGTTTGAGGTGCACGACGATGCCGCTCTTCTCTACCATCGGGTTCTTTTTGTAGTGATCCACCAGGTCCGCCAAGGTGTCGAACCTCTCGCCACCACCTACGTCGTATTTACCGTCCTGCTGGAGAACACCCAATCCGAGTTCGAATGTGATTCGGACCAAATGCTTCAGTATTTCTGTGGCATCATGCCGAGGTACCTGGTATCGGATCATCACGTGGGTGACCTTGGTTTTGCGGTCGACATTCTCGTGCTTCTCCTCGTGGGTGAGAACCGAGAGGACAAAGTCGCCCGGTTTGCTTTGGCTCTCTCGAACCAGAAAGCTGCCAGCCTTGCCTTTTTCTGTGAGCAGTTTCTCAGCGTCTCGACCTGAGAGGTGGCCGTGATACCACCTGGAGGACGGGGAGAAATCATACACAAACACACAAATGAAAATGACACGTGGCATGTCTTTGGAATGTGTCAGGAAACCGAGTAGCCACAGGAAAAAAAAAAAGCCTGCAAATTGGGCTGAATGTGCAAACTCCACACATTTACTTGAACAATGAAAATATGTTCAACAATAATGTTGCATTTAGGTCAAGTCCCCCCCACCCCACCCCAAAAACAAATCCGGTTGTCTTGAACCATGTACATTTTCACAACAAGCTCATTACAGTATTGTGGTTTCATGGTTGGATTTGCGTCACAGACGGTGTAGTGATTCACTCTCTCGAGTCGCGACTTCCGTTCTGGCAGCAGAGGTTCAGTTCTCACTCACTGATGGTGCGAAAGGGAGTGTGGGTGTGAGTGGTGGTCTGTTTTGATTGCACCCAAGTGATTGATTGGTTGACCAGTCCAAGGTGAAGTCCGCCTTTTACCCGAAGTCAGCTGGGATTGACTCGATGTCCCCGTGACCCACAAAAATAAAAGCAGTGCAGTGTATACAGCGGTGGATGGATAATTTGCAAAGGGTGTACAACTGCATCATACTGAAAGCGCTTTCTACGAATGTGACCATCTCATGTCATGAAATACAATGAACACAATCTTATCATCCCTCAGTCCAATTCAACGTTGGTTTGATCAGTCTGCAGAATATTTTGCCAGTCGTGCTCTGGAACTTCCAAGTGCTCTTTAGCAAGCTTCGACTACAACTCGACGACATCCTTTTCCAGCTTTCTACACGTCAACAATTCTGAACCGTCGGTCTCCTGAGAGCGCTTTTGAGCAAGGCATGGTAAACATCAGGCACTACTTCTTGAGAGGAGACAATTCTCAACCGGTCTCGTTGATCGGACTCCAGCTTGGCTCACACCTGTGCCTGATTAGCCCTTGGAAAATCCAGAGCGGGCTATTAGTTTCAATCAAGATATGAACACATAATTGTTCGCGTGGTATTCGTCTAATCAGACTGCTTAACTTATTCTTGCTACTCAGGTGAAGATCAGACAACATTTGATTCCGAACTGCTGCAGAAATGGAAGAAATTCCAAACGCTTCACATCCGTTTTGCCTCCCACTGTGAACTGTTCAAGTGGAGCTCAACTTTTACTTATGGTGCAGTATGATAGCAATTTTACTCGCGTTATCCCCCTACTTGAAAACAAAGCCTTGTTTTATTATTGTGGACATCTTTTTTCATGTTTTTCAAGGTGAACTTGGCCGTTATACAACAAGAAAGAAAATCGAAAAAGCTCAGCTTGAGGCTAGACGAAGGGGGCGGGGGGAATAGGGGAAGACAAATGATCAAGACAAGCAAGAGGATCTGAGTTGAGGAAGGCTTAACAATGTTCTAACTTCCTGTGGGGGGAAACGGCCTCTTCATGTTGCTGCGGGGGTCTCACAAGTCGCGCATGCCGATTTCTACTCGAACATTACAGCCAAGTCGACATGGAAACGAAGCCCAGTTTGTTCATCAAAAAAGAAAGAAAGAAATGAAAGGAATCTTGCAACCACTGAATAATTTCAAGAAATGTGTGTCCACAAAAAGATGCTGAAAGGTTGTAGTGGATATGCCAAGCCTGAAGTGGCGCTGTTGCGCAGCCATGGGGAGTTACCGGGAAACAGAAGAAGAAGCTTAAGCATAAATAGAGGAAGAATAAGCGAAGAAAGAGTCATTGCGACAATGGCGGCGAATTCCACACAATCACAGAAGGAGAGTTTTGTCTGGATGGATGACGAAGTAAAGCGCCTCCTTCAGGCCATCACACAGTTATCCGCCATTGTTGTTGACAACGATGGCGGCTACACCCACGTCATCCAACTGCTACAAGTACTCATCAGTCCGGGAAATAAGCATATGTATTGTACACACTGAAATCCAAAGGGTGGAATGCCCAATTAGTGAATAACTTGCAGATACGCTGAAACGCGTTTTCATGTGGACAGGGTCTAACATACAGTGCATCGGGTAAGCATTCCATTTTGGAATTAGGTTGTTAACACCACAATATGTAGAAAGTGAAGTGATGTCAAATATTTTCCGGAAGCACTGTGAGTGAAGACACATCTGTGTGCTGCATGATGATCAAGCCACCATTTCTTTTTTTTCTCAGACTCATTTCCACCACATTTTTGGGGGGATGAATGAATCAATCAGGCATTGGACGACAACAGTTAGCTCCCCCCAGCGCTTAATTCTTCATTTTACTTATACTGTATTACTGTATATATTTTCCGCTTCATGAGGTGAATTTGGTGCGGAACAAGCCCCATCAAACACATTAAAGATGAATTAAAACGGAGATTTTGTGCCAGCAGCGCTTCTCTCAGGTCCAACATTAGTGACCCCTGACCTCACAACTATTTGTTCGTCTGAATGAATGGACAACAATACCAAGGGGCAAATTCTGCTAAGCATTTTTTTTATCAGTTTTGGAAATACATGTGATCCTGAATTTAGAGTACAATATTTCATGGAAAAAAAAAAAAAAGACTTAGATGCAATATCTATTCCATCTCGGGAGAAATGACGAACCTGTCTCGGGTTAAAGTGCATCGTGAGCTGCAATCGGGCGATGAAAGGAAAGTGCGCTAAAAGCGTCGCTAATAACACCTCTTAGATGGCTTAACTGCCTCTTCAACTGTAAAAGCAACATCGTGAAATCTGTGGAGTGAAGAATTTAACTTAAAAGCAAAAAAAAAAAAAAAAACCTTTTGAAGACAGAAAGAAACTTCGATGTAGTTTTAATGGGCTTATGGAAAGTAGCCAGACATTCTGCTGACCTTACTGCGGGCTGCGTGTATGTTTGTGCAGGACTGAATGCAAATCGGATCCTATTTATCAGTGTGGGCGCGAAGCGGGCACCTCTCAGACGTGGGGTCTTTGCAGTTGAGCGGATACTTGAGCTCGATGACATGGCCGTTCCTCTCTCGCAGCAGGTCCTGTTGTTCGGTGTAGTACTGCACCAGCTCGGCCAGCGTGGCAAACTTCTCGCCCCCGTACAGGTCATAGTAGTCCCCGGAGTTTTGGATCTTGATGTGGGTCACCTCATCGTTGCGCCTTGGTGGGCAGAGGGGACAGTTTTTTTTAATTTTCAGAGGTAGGCTTATGCCCTGCGGACGTGTAGAAATAACTCCCACACGTACGTGCGCCTGCATAAGTAAAATATAGATCATGTTTATTTGCCAAGCGCCCACTCACACGCTATAGTACCACTCGATGAATTTTATCAAGCCGTCTGCTTGCTTTTCAAGGCTTGTTTTGACAAAGTTTATTTGAGAAGGGCTTCAACGTAGTTTAACTCATGATGACCGCGACTTGAAATTCGCAAAACAAAAATGTTTGCGCGTCTCATACAGACACATTGAATGGCAAAATTGCGAGTGTCACATGAACACACAGTATTAATATGTCTCATGCTAAACTGCTTTCCACACAAATTAAGTTGTATAAATGCTGTTCATGTTTTTTTTTTTTTTTTTTTAAATGAATGACATTTAAACACTTTTTAAAACCGAAATACATATTCACGTTTTTAAATTGCCACACGGAAAAGAAAACAGTTTGCTGCTCGGCACAATGTGAAACTAAGAAAAAGAAACCAATTGTTCGTTCGTTACTAAGTGGAATGTTTTATTTTCTCTTTTGTGTTCATAACTGCTCTTTCATCAAGCAAGTCATTTATTTTTATTCAGCGGGATATCACTTGTTCGTTTCAAATGATTTCAGTGAGCAGTGTGGGTCCCAACAAGTTTGCCTCTGTGTGTACAAAGAGACACTGGCTCCCAATCATCTGTAGAATAGATTTTAAAATTCTGCTACTGGTGAATACTTTAATGCAGGGGTGTCAAACTCATTTTTTGTCGCGGGCCACTTCGGTGTTACGGCTTCCCTTGGAGGGTTGGTGGAAAATCTCATTATTTATTACACATGACAATTTGACATTTCGGTACAGATTTCAACAAGAGTCATGATAGTTGACACACATGATTTGCTCCCACGGACCACATAAAATGACGTGGGGGGCCTTGACTTTGACACTTGTGTCTTAATGAAATGCTGATTAACCATAAAGTCAGTAGGGCTCGGAGAGCCGCCAACTTTCGTCCATTCGTGGAGCCACGAGTCCAAAGTAAACAAGATGAAGCTGCATGTAGTTGTTATGCTGCATGCAAATGGAAAAAACAGCCCACAGAATTGAAGTCAGCCCACCATGTAAAAAACTACGATCCAAGTTAAAACGTTGCTTTTTTTACCCTTTCCTTTGATTAAGGTCTTCTGATCAATATTTTTTTCTTTTTAATTACTTTTTCTCTCCATTTTTAGAATGTTCAAATGTTTTTTTTTAACATTTTCTGTTGTACATTCTTTGAGTAACATTTGTAAGCTACTTTAGTTTTTTTCTGCTTTGTTTCTGAATGTCGGCGTGCCTGTAAATGCTTTTAGCGTGTTGCGTCGTTGCTTGAGTGAAGCCTTGTGTATGAAATGCGGCATGTCAATAACGTTGCCTTGCCTGAGAGCTGAAGTCTTTCATCTTTGTTTAGTGCACTGGGCAGGCGGAGCGAGCTACTTGTTATTTGTCCATACAAAGAAAAAAAGCGGTTACGTGCTTCACTACAGTTGGTCCTGATCTTTGAATGAGAAATTCTGCCTATTTGTATGTCTTTTTTTTTTTTTTTTTTTTACTATGTTTGATGATTGCAAATGATTTTACGAGAGCACTCGTTTTTGTCATCAGAAGTCATCGCATTGTGAATAACAAATGCGTGCAGTCTGCATTCCAACTGACAGACAGGAAACAATGCAACGGTATATTTCTGAATAGAGTCCCTCACCACACACAGACTTGGTAAGATGAAGAAAGACAATTCTGGAGGGAGGGACTAGCAGTCCAGGCCAACCTCTGATTGATTGATTGATTGATCACACTGCTGTTTCTCAACACTTCCGTTCCTTCCTCCTTTTGTCCCATGAGCCACTGCTTTCTCTTGATGTGTTTCCCGGTAATTGCTTAACAGCTTTAGTATTGGCGCTTGGCACGGCGCCATAGATCCATAGTCCTGTTCAAGTCCCACTTCGACGCTCAGGCCTTTAGACTGCTTTTATCTCACAGTTAAACACTGTTACCGATGGAAGAGCCCAACATAAGCGCTTCCATTTTATTCACTTCCTTAATTACTTTACTTTTGTACGTATATTACAATGGAAGACACGGGAGCAAATCCGATAAATATTTTATTCCCATGTCAAACCGGGTGGTGACTATCATCTCACCAACACAGGTGCAGCCGCTAGAATCAACGCTAAGCACAAAGGAAGAAGGAGAAGAGAGGGAAGTGGAAATCCTCGCACACACCACTGGGGCAAACTCCATGAATGCTGAATTTTGGCTCACCGTCACCATGACAACAACCTGCAGTGAATGCAAACTGTTGGCGCGATGATGTGGCGTTTGCAACCTGAAATTGACTTAGCCAAGATTGAAAGTCAGTAAACCAATGATCTCCCGATTTCCAGTTGGGCAATGTGAATCATACGGTTCAGAAGAAAAATAAGAGACCTCGAGTGCTGTCGCACCGAAATATGAATAGTAAAATGTTTTTCCCAATATGTGCGGTCACCAGTGAAAGAATTTGAGTGTATCAAAGTGCGTTACAACAGACCAAACAACAAAAACGAATCAAGTCAACGATCGAATCGGTTTACAGTCGACATGTGTAGTGTTCCCTCGCTATCAAGAGATTTGCTTTTCGCGGCCTTGCTGTTTTGTGGATTTTTTTTTTTTCAGTAAAATACAGGACTGTAAATGGAAAATCGTACAATATAATTATTTAAAAAAACAAGCGACAATATTTATGATCAATGAAAAACATTTGAAAGAAATTAAAAACAACAACAAAAACATAATAAAAACAAGCGCATTTGGTGTATTTACCCTACACCTCAGTTTGTTTGCTGTCTCCACACCCGTCGAAATGAACCACACCAAGTGAGGCAATGAACTTGAGTTTGAAAAAAAATTCAAACGTGCTAGCGTCAAAAAATGCTTCACTGTCAACTACAACTTAAACTTTCTACTTCAAGACAAATTTCAAGAATTCTGCATTTTTTTCTTTTTTTGTAATTTAATGCTTATAAAAGCCTAAAAATCCAGCACATAAAACCAAAATAGTCTGTGATATAATGTGTTGAAGTAAACATTCTCTGATCATTTAGCATGTTTACACACACACACAAAAAAAAAAAATGCAATAACAGCACAAATGTTACTGCTCCACAAACTCATGCTTCGAACAATCCCACTTTCCCTCCTTGAGGTTTCATCTCCCTATTAATTGATTACATCGCTATTATGTTTGCGAAACCTCTCCTGGGTTCCATATACCATGGAGAAGATAAGAACAGGGGAGACTCCAAAAAAAAAAAAAAAAAAAGGAGAGAAAGAGAAGACAGAGCAGGGAGGCCAACCTCCCACAGTGACTATTACCATCGGAACTATCACTCAAAGTTCTCATGCCGGATAATGACTAATTAGCTCATTAGGCTCTCCACTGCTCTGATAACATACTGAATGTGTGCGCACGTGGTGAGAAATGGCGAGTGCGGTACACTGAATTCTGAGTCAAGAAGAGCTTACTGCATGATGAACAACAGGATTAGTACAATATCATTTAAACATTTTTGGACATTATACAGTCGATATCTGGAAATGCCGGAAATACGCACGCGTACGCGTGTCTGTGTGTGTGTGTGTGTGTGTGTGTGTGTGTGTGTGTGTGTGATATATTTTTGTATTATCGTATTTTCCGCACTAAAAAGGCGCACCTGAAAGCCTTCCATTTTCTTAACAGCTCACAGCGCGCCTTAAAATCCGATGCGCCTTGTGTATGGTCATTACGGTAATATGTCAACCCCAAAATGGCTCCTTGCTCAAGGCATGCTTACAACGCAGAGTTCAAACTTAAGGCGACCGGTTTCACAGTTGAACACGGAAATAGAGCAGCGGCAAGAGAGTTCAACGTTAACGATGTTAAAACTTGCTGTTGGTTAAGTAAGCTGAGTCACTGCTTTATTAAGTTTGACTGACATCTGATCGTCGCTATATAAATCAGGGTGTAGTGTAGTGTAGTGTTCTGTTGGCATTTCCTTGAGTGCAGCTCTATCTAGTGGATGCATTGTAGATTGCGTCTTATAGTGCGGTGCGTCCAATATATGAAAAAAATTACAAAAAATTCATTGAAGATGCGCCGCATAATTCAGTGCGCCTTTTAGTGTGGAAAATACGGTCGTGCACACTGCACCCTATGCATCCTATCGGTCTCACAAAACAAGTACCGTAATTTCTGGACTATTGACCGCACCTGATTATAAGCCGCACCACTACATTTTTAAAGGAAAAAAATATTTTGTACACACATAAGCTGCACCTGTGTATAAGCCGCAGGTGCCCATATTGTAACATGAGATATTTACAAAGAAAGACGGTACACAGGCAGCCGTTAGTTAAGTCTTTATATAAGCCGCTTCATGAAATAAGCCGCAGAGTTGAAAGCGTGTGACAAAAGTCGCGGCTTATAGTCCGGAAATTACAGTATTTAAAAAAGAAAATTAAAAAAAAAAAACAGGTCACCGTAACCCATGTCTTACAATTTCTACGATTTTTGTAACACATGGGTTACCCCATGTGTTACAATTTCTACAATTTTTGCGTATTGTCATCTTTAAATCAAAGCCAAAGCATAAAAAGTGTGTGATATGAAATATTCCAATTCATGTTTTATTTATATAGATTTATATTTATGTTTTGGTCATAGCACAATACCGCTTTTATTGTCCATAGAGGGCAAAAATACAAAGAAAAAAATAAGAACTATATGTGTATGTATAGCACTGATGCCACTGAACATGTCGAGTGGTTGAAAGTGAAATAAATATTCAGGAATAATACTTTTACAATTTTTGTAAAATTGTATGTTGCGTTATATAAACTTATTTACATCGACTGCAGCACATGGGTTAAACCCACATGACCGACATCACCGGAAGCTGTTAGCAGTCAGCAGTCTGCAATTGCAGATTGCGATCAGAGCCGTTGCGATCCATCTTTTATTATTATGCTCATTCAAAGTTTGTTTCATTGGGCAATTCACCGATGGCAAGCAATGGGAATCTGGAGTGCCAGGAGAAACATTTCCACACGTTACACATGAGTTACGATCGTGATATTCTTGCAGTTAACACGCTGCGAAAGTGTGTCCCATGCCGCCCTGACTAAGGTAGGCAGGGATTTGCCTTTCATAAACTCACAAACTCTTGTATCTGCTTTATTTTTCTGTTTCGTTCATATTAGGGGCCGTTATGGCGACTGCTCATCATGGCATACGTGGGTGTGTGCGTGTGTGTGTGTATGCGTGCATGCGCAGTAATGAGTCGATCGCGGGAGGTTGAGGGTGGGGCACTCCGAGTATAGATGCTACTTTTTTTTGTTTATGTTTTTTGAAACAAATGATTGAAAATGCCTCGCTCTCTTTGAAGATACAATTGAACAAATGTCGTTTTGGGGTATCCTGAAAAGTTTATTTTTGAGGTGTAAGGATTCCGACCGATGCCAGTGATACACGATTCATTTTAAGGATGTGGAGTCTCTGAATTTTGCAGTGCGGGTTCAGATGTTGGTCCCGCTGACAACATGCCAAATACAGTACATACACTTTAAATGAGTGTGGATTGGAATCTAAAAATACTCGCAATGTCATTTCAGTGTCTTTAAAATGGAAAACTCGTCTCTCAGCCGGGCAGAACTGAGGTTTGTTTGCTCTCACTACTGAACTTTGCAATTTGAGAACAGCGAGGCAGAAAAAAAAAAAAGGCTTGTGATCGATGAGGGAGGAAAAAAAAAACAGATGTAGGGGAAGCAAGGGAAGAGCATAAATACCTGACTGAAAGGGTGAAATCCCCCGGATTGCTCTTGCTGGGCCGGGCCAGGAAACTGCCGTGGACACCGCGGGTCAACAGGAGCTGCTCTGCTACGATTCCGGTGATGTTGGGATGGAACCACCTGAAAACAAAAAAAGCAAAATGCAGCTGCTGTCACGCATGAAGTCGGCAGTGTATTATACCTTTTCACTTTGCATTTTGATGCTTCAGTGACGCTGGTGGTATCCCAATCAGAATAAAATCGTAAATAATCGTGAACCACAATAAAATCGTAAAAAATTAATTGTCCTTCTGGACATTCAACACTGCAAAGTGGTGCATGTTTCTATATTCACGACAATATAGTTCAACGGTCAAAATGGGAAAATTGTGCTTGAATATGAATAAATCAGAGAGTGACCATCACCCCGGAACTGATCGTGTTCGACGTCAGCCATTCCACTAAAAAGTACACTTTAAAAGGTCACGTGGATTCCGATCACACAGATTATCAAATCATCACGTGCCAAATGTTGCTTAAAATTGCATATGTTGGACTTAATCGCATGCAGGCCCATGCTAATGCCTGTCAGGTTAGCAAATCTTCCATTAGCAGGTCCTGTCATTTGCGCTATTAAAAAACTATATAACAGGCCCAGATTGCAAACTTTATCTTCCAGGATGCCTCGTTAATTTCATTGTTTTGTCAGAGAAGATGAGGCGAAGAACTTAAACAGCTCACTTGGGAGAAGCAGAAACTATGTTCAAATTGAGTGATAAACTTTATGATTGCCAGATTGCGGATGTGAGATATTCATGGAACTAGACAGTTAAAAAAAAAAAAAAAAAGTCAGGTTTGATACTCTTCAGAAATTCTCGTGTTGTCAAATGCCACCGTTGACGTAACAGGAAAACAGGAGGCATCTATTGCATACCTCGGTATAAATCGAATTTATTGTTATTCCAAAAGAAAAACAGATCGGGCATGAGAAAAAATGAAGGTATGCTGCTCATTTCCTCATTGTCTTCTAACTTAGAAGAGAGGGCCGCTTTCCTGCACGTTTTCCATCTCTCCCTGCTTTAACACACCTGATAGCCTGATCACGATCCAGATAATTTTGAATCAGGTATGTTGCAGCAGGGACAGATGGAAAAACATGCAGGAAAGCGGCCCTCCAGGACCCGCCGAGTTTGAGACCCCTCCATATAGCTTCTTGTGATATTTCGGCGGTTGAAATCGGCTTTAGTAGAGACGTCCACCTTGATGAGACATCCACCGGAGTAACCTAAATTTGATCAGTAGTGGTAGTAAAAATTGGGAAGGGGAACATTCAAGTTTAGAGGAATGCAAAGCAGAAGCTAATCGATTTCATGATCACTTCCTCTGTTGCAAAACACAAATGTGTAAATACAGTTACTAACCAATCTACTTCTCAAGTAACTGCGGGCTGGTGCACACTCGCTCCCTCAAAAAATATTCACGACATACAACAGCTGCAAAACGTCCACTGACTTCACAGCAACAGAGCGCCCGTGTTGAAGTTGGATTCATGTCGTGAGTAAAAAAGAAAGCTATGTTGTATTGCGCTTGGTACGTAAGCAGACGTACGTGGGTAGACGTAGTAAAGCAGCAAGAATGTACTGAAGGGATGCCACATGTCAGCTGTGCAGACATATCGCGCTCCCGTTTAAAACTCCCTAATGACTACAGGCCATCGCGGGCTAATTTAATCCTTTCATGCACCCTGTAACCTGATAAAAAGATAAACTGTCCACTGTCGGAACCACTGCCTGAAAGGGCTAATGCACCACAATCATTGTCAGGTTCCATTTGAAGGGTCAAAGAAAGAATTGAAAGAAAAAAAAAATCCACAGCGAAATGTCTTTCGTGTCTAACAAAGGCTTTAGATTGGTTTGGTGGTCTAAGAGTATACAACTTTACATTTTGTTGACATCAAAGAAAAAAAAGATATCGGGCCTGATTTACTAAGATTGGCAGGTGCTAAATGGTAGATTCGCTCTCACAAGTTGTGCGTTGTTAGGTATGACTTTATAAGATTGCACCGCAAATAGAAATATGAAGTAATGGAATTGGAAGTGTCAGTACAAGAGTAAAACAAATATAATCATGTTATCAAAAAGAAATAGAACAACTCCGCGTGACCGCCTTAGCTTTGTTTGTTTGTCATTTCACTCGCCCTGAGCGCCTGACAATTGAGACGTGTAGGTATTGGGCATGTCACGGGTATTCGATATCGCGATGTTAATCGTGTCTCAATATTGTCGTGGTACCGTCTAGGTATAAAATAATGAGATGGTGCGCTTAAAATTTCGTTTTGGGCTCGGCTATGTGTAGGCACTTTGCTTGGCAGGGCTGCACCACACAGAACACACTAACACACACAATAACACAATTTTTTAAAAAAAGGGTCCAATTGAGCATAGTTGGTCACAGATATGACGATAGGATTCAAAAATGGTTGGTAAAAATGCACTCGATGATGCAGATGACATTGCAACTGTCCAAAAAAAAAGATTGTTTGTACAAAAACAAGTTTTACTATAGACTGCCCAGGGGAGAGAAAGCTCTTGGCAACATGTGAAATGTTCTCTACACCTACACAGTACTGTATGACCCATACAGCGCATTACATAAAACTCATGTGTCACCGCACAGCCTTTATCTAATGCGCAAAACTCTCATTTACTTCTAACTGTTCAGTTTAACTGACAGCCGTGGAAAAGGCAAGAAATATCCTTCTGAGAGATAAATGTAAATGTCAGACTTTAGCACTCTGCATTGAGAGATAACCCCTCAGCTACCATTTTGTACTTGACAGACAATTCCAAGTGACAACGATGGCTTGGCCGTTGCTATTGGCATGTTTTCTCCATGATTTTTCTTGAAATTCATTTACGCTGAAACAATTTGGGATGCAAATATTATTAGACATTAGGAAAATATGCGGGTCTATGAAGGTGCGACAATGGCAAAAACATGAACTGGATTATCCTAAAATACAAACCAGACATCTGTCCCGGAATGCACCTGACCTGGATCCTCATCAGGCTGGATTAGGTTGTGGGACGCGAGGGAGTCAAGTCAACTGATGCAATTTCTGTCATTTGAAAGTGCTAAGTACAGAGTGTAGCAGCAACAGTACAAATGATAGATTTACAACTCGAAAGGGTTAAGCTAAAGTGTATGTTTTGTGGCTAAATGGGATAAAGGCCTCCAGTGGTCTAAGAAAAGGATTTTTGGTGATGCGAGGGGGGCTGGGCAGCGAATGCTTCAAATTTGAGGACTTTGATGATGATGAGTTATTCGCTACGGTGAATTTGTCCAGCAATTTAATAGAAATTGGGTGGTATGAGCAGAAGAAACAATTATTTAAGGTTACCCAAGGAACAAAGTTGGTCAAAAATAAGGCTATACGATTTGATAGAAATGTCATTGTGTTTATTTGTATTTGAATGGGGTAAAAAAAAAAATCATTTGGAGTTTGTGACAATTTGTGATTCACAACTGAGCAAGCAAAAATCAAAATGAGCATTCTCGTACGTTACATGTTAAATCGGTCTGGCTAAACATTGATCATGGTCATTCTGCAGCCAGCTAAATTATTAGCGATCCAAGCCTCTTCTGTTTTTGTTGGTCTGACGATGATCGGTCATTCTCCAGTCTTAATTCGTACGGTCTCGTCATCTTTCCATTTCGGCAGAACTTTGTCCTCTACTCGCAACTGTAATTCAAGATCAAGTTTTTCGGCAGCAACCACCAAAATGTAACTTCATCTAAGCACAGTCAATGTTAGTATAAGACTGTTTTGGGGATTTTTCACCGGCCATTTTTCATGGCATATTTTATTTTATTATTTTTTTCTAAACGAGTGACAATGGTATTGTTATTCTCTGATAATTTACGGAAAATTTACTCTGCCGAGGAACCACTGAGAGGTCGCGTGTGTCAGCTGGTGAACAGATTACTCATTGTCGTGTTTTTTTTTTTTAATCCTTCACAGATACATAGAGAAAAAGATAAGTGTGCGGCAAATAAAAAAATGTGGTCTGTCACTAATCTATATTTAATCCTTCCATCCGAGAACTGCTGTCACAATGAAAACATCAAAACAATGGGGACACGCTACAAGAAATGCGACGATTGTAGATATCAACACACCAAGGTCAAACAAGATGGAGTTCAACCTCTCATTTTGAGGAAAATATGGGGCCAATTCCAAAGAGTCAACAAAAGTTATACCCCGGACAAAAATGAGTTTATTTCATCGGATTTAGATGGAAATCACATTTCACCCAGAACCGAACCGGTCAATCATGTGGTGATTGAGAACATCAACTCGGAATTGATCCTGAACCAGTTGCACAAATGACTGTTCTGTAAAACTACTTAACTACTGAAGGCCTAAAACAATTCACATACATACAGTTAAAAAAAAACTTTGACCACTGCTGCAATTTTAGTTGGTCGTAATTCAGAAGAAATGTCCAAATGACTCTCGCAGCTGATTTGGTTCTGTGCCAGGAGTCACTATTCAACACCTGTTGTATGTTTCTATTCAATGACACCAAAATAGCTCGAGCTAAATGCATTATTTCGTGAAAGCAGCAACATGGGGAAAGTTGAAGGGGATTATTTCTGCCTACCTCACCATTCTGGTCGAAGCCTTCCACAAGCCCCTTCCTTCTCCTCTGATTTTAATAATCCAGAAAAGTTACACAAGTGAGGGCAGGAGGGAATCGGGACAAAATAGAGACAAATTGAGGGTGTGCGGGAGGGTGGGGGTGAAGCTTTAGGGGTGTGTGCTCGTCCGTGTTACCGGGGTCAGCGAGAATAAAACAGTGAGAGAAATGTGGCGTTTGCGCAAATGTTTGAAAGAGAGGGAGTGCGCAAGGGAGCACAAGGGGCGGAGGGTTTGTAATCTGGGATTTGGATGAATGTGAGCGAGCCTGATAGCCCTATCAGACCCCCCCCCCCTCTTCCCCCCCTCCCTCCTTACCCCACTTTAGGTGAATGTGACAACCTTAAAGCCGACTGGTCTGACCGCCTTCCTCCCGAGTGGTCAACAGCAAACAGAGTCCAGCCTGTGATCCCCAAGCCAAGAGAGTTTTTGCTGGCTGTGACACGGGCCAGACCGTGCCAGACCAGATGAGGGCACCGACAGGTCCTGGCTCGGACTTGTCAGGGGGAGCAAACACAACAGCTGCGTTGCCCGTGCCTGGAGATTACATCTAATCGTGTGTGGCGTAGTTACACCAGATCATAGTCGGCCCTGGCCAACATAACCCCCGGCGCAATCCGGCCAATTCAGCAGCATGCCATTAGGCTATTCATTTTTCAGCCATGGGATGAACGTGTAATTAAATCCAGCAAGTATCCAGTATCAGACTAGACATTTTCAGGATGACTTTTCTATGACCCTCGGATTAAGTATTTAAAATGCATTCTACAAGGGAATTGTATTCACAGTACATGTAGAGCTAAATATTGAAATCAGAGAGAGAGAGAGAGAGAGAGAGAGAGAGAGAGAGAGAGAGAGAGAATATCACAAACAAAATGTCTTCTTTGTGGTCTTGACACTGCAATATTTAGTTTATCCATACATTACGGGTGTGCCCCTTGCCAAGACTCAGGCAAGAGGAGGCAAATATTAACAGTGATCATTGAAAACACGTAAAACTGATCATGATGGCATTAAAAAAAATCTTGATACAGTTAAGTAGGTATTCTGTGTTGTCTTCTACGCCGGGGCAGTCATGCTGGTACAAGAAAGGCCCTTCTACAAAGTTATAGCATCTTCTGTAATTTTTCCAATGTCTTGCTCAGAGTTGATTGTCCCTCGGTGTGAGTGTGAGCGCCGGTGGTTGTTCGTCTATCTGTGCCCTGCGATTGTCCTTCAAATAATTACTTGAGTAAGAGTAAGTATTCAATGAAAAGACTGTCAGCTCAATCCATCCATCCATTTTCTGTTCCACTTATCCTCACAAGGGTCGCGGGCCGTGCTGGAGCTTATCCCAGCCGTCTTCGGGCAGTAAGCTGGGGACACCCTGAACCGGTTGCCAGCCACTCGCAGGGTACACACAGACGAACAATCATTTGCGCTCACACTGAGGGACAATTTAGAGGGTTCGGTTAACCTCCCATGCATATTTTTGCAATGTGGGAGGAAACCAGAGTACCCGGAGAAAACCCACGCAGGCACAGGGAGAACATGCAAATTCCACACAGGAAGGCTGGAGCACCTCCGCACTGTGAGGCCAACGCGCTAAGCAGTCGAGCATCAGGCCGCCACCCCTCTACATGTCATCACGAAATTACATCATGACATTTTATGGCTTTATTTCATTTATCAATTAAAGTCTGATTATTTGGTTGCTTCAATGTCTTACTCCCTCCTCCTCAGGTCATGACTTCTGGAAACGAGTGAGTCAGGGCTTTCCAAGAATAGGATTTCCTTTGACCGCTACCATGCGACCCACTTCCCTGCAAAAGCCTGGAGCAGCAAACTAGACAAACAAAAACGAGCGCATGAGATGGCAAAATAACCTGCTTTGGCCTGATAAGACGCCAAGAGAACAGAGAGTCAAACAAAACGTGTCACGGGAAAGACACGGGCAGCTGGGAGCTTCGTGTTGGGCCTCAAGCTGGTTGATGGAAAATGGGGCACGGAAGGCATCCGCTGCTGTTTAGCCTCTTACGTAATGTCTCAAGTTCAATAAAGCCTCGGCCGTCTATTTACAGCATGCCTGTCTAGTCCCGCCGACAAAAAGGTGGTATACTTAGCAGCCCCAGCATGGCATCAGACTCCCCGCGAGGGCTATATTGGTCACAGACGAGTCTTGGGGTGTGGATTTTGCTAATGTGATCTGTATTTTTAGCTCAGATGATGAGCTGCAGTATTTACACGCGGTGTTAAACTCACACATCCCCCATGACTGGATGTTTCTCAGTCTAAGTCCACACATTGCAAAATTAACTAAATTACTCCTTTGAAAGGGGAATCTGGCTCCCAACCTTTTCATCCTTTGGAATTACATCAAGTTTTTCTGCCTGTGCAAAACACATGAATCGGGTGAGAAATGGACAAATATACATTTGGATTTTTCCATTTATTGTTCTGTATTGACAGAAAAGCCCCAGAATGCCAGAATTTCAAAATGTGATTTCAAATGGGGGCGGCCCGGTGGTCAACTGGTTAGCGCGTCGGCTTCACGGTGGGTTCAATTCCGGACTGGCCTCCCTGTGTGGAGTTTGCATGTTCTCCCCGGGCCTGTGTGGGTTTTCTCCGGGTACTCGGGTTTCCTCCCACATTCCAAAAACATGCGTGGCAGGTTAATGGAACACTCTAAATTGTCCCCGAGTGTGAGCACGGATGGTTGTTCGTCTCTGTGTGCCCTGCGATTGGCTGGCAACCAGTTCAGGGTGTCCCCCGCCTACTGCCCGAAGACGGCTGGGATAGGCTACAGCACGGCCCGCGACCCTTGTGAGGAAAAAGCGGATCAGAAAATGGATGGAAGGGTGGATACTTTTCATGTCTTTTTGTAATTAATGAAAATGGGGATGAGAGCAAAAACAGAATGTTTGTAAGAATGCCAATTGACCAAAAGCTTTATGTTCAACATTTATTAAATGAAAATCTGTAAAAATGTTGAATATGATTTGTGTTTACTGTTAGTCACAGGCCACTTCCTTGTTCAAAGATGATGATAATAATTGGTCAGTTTCCAATCCATAAAATGTGTTAAAGTTAGAAAAATACAAATAAAACTTGTCAAACACCGTGTTTTTAATGTAAGTTTTTTCAGGATAACCTCAGAAGATTCTACAGCATTAAAAAATATATCTGTATACCTGTACTCCATGACACTATGGTCAAATAATGCAATTCATCCGAACTTTTGGTTGTTTTTAAACCAAATGCTGAAGTATAAACTCAATGAGGACGGACAAGGTGTTGATGGGTTCAGGCCGTGTACAATAAAGACATATTCAACATCCAATAATATGCTTTTTATGCTCACCTGGCTGACTGAATTAAAAAAAAAAAATTCTTCAATGTTTTATGCATAATGAAATAAGTAAATAATTGTGGGATATTTAAAAAAACACGACAATATATTAAATTTGACATTTTTTCAAAATAGAAAACACAGCAACTTCATTCTTTTTTTTTTCTCTCTCATGCACCTTTGGGAATCCTGCATGCATATTATGGAGTACTATAATATGCATGCGGTGCATTTAAAAAAAAAGAAAAAAAAAGAAAAAAAAAGCATGAACAGTTGGTGGTGTGGCGACTTCTCCTGGAAATGTTGCCAGCGTTATCTTATTCCTCCACACAGGCTGTTGTTTTCCTGTGGCCCTACAGAGAAAACTGACTCACTCTTCTCAAATGAGTTTCAGTGACAGATGCGGTCTGCTCCATTAACAAAGGGGGGCTAGGTGGGGGGGGGGGGCTCTTTTGGTGGGTTCATAATGAACACAGAGCAGCAACATGACATTATTTTCGATGGATGGAGAAGCGTAGGCAACGATATGCGTGGATTTAAAGGTGGATTCAAATGTGGTGCGACGGAGCAGAGGAAAAACTGTTTCATGAAGATTGAACTGCGCATCTTCTGTTGGTACTGCGAGATTTTCACCTCAGGAAGTGCGGAGGCAGCCTCAAAGCAACACTCTGAAATGTCACGGCCGCTCACACCGCTCATACCTACTTTAAATCTCATTCTTTGTGTGTGTGTGTGTGTGTGTGTGTGTGTGTGTGTGTGTGTGTGTGTGTGTGTGTGTGTGTGTGTGTGTGTGTGTGCTCTGTCTGCCTTGAACCTAATTGCGATCCCCAGCCTTAAGGTTCTGACGTTCTGCAATGTAGTATCTTTCGGTCCTGGTTCTATGACTCTCATTAGCCGGTTCTCACGAAGTTTGAGATGAAAATTTAACACACTACAAACTTGTAAAACGTAGCATTGTCTGGGAGTTATAATAAACCTATTCACAAGGGGGTAGTTGCCGAGCCTTCCCACAAATAGTGAAAAACCATGAATAATTTACCCCCCAAAAGTGATTGAAAAAAAATCCCCACACACACGAAATGCCCAGAGCAATTTCACATTAAAAAGGTGGTTGTTTTTATATTTTGATACGAATGTAGGGGGCCGCAAAATGTGATCACGCGGGCTGCAAATGGCCCCCAGGCCGCGCGTTTGGGACCGATGCGCTAACGCTGACAAGGAGCAACTATGTATTGGTGAAGTTTGTCAGTGGATCCTGGCCACACGAAACAGTTCAAAAAGTCCACTCACGATTACCACTGAGCTTCGAAAGGGGGCGTCGTGCAACGAGGCACACTGATGACGACTTTTCTGGAACGCCACTGTGTAACTACACGCATTTTACCTTGTTTGGGGGAAAAAAAAAAAGTGTTTCCCAGTGTTTAAGTTAATGAAGTTGGGAAAAAAAAAAATCCATCTGTTTGACCTCTTTCTTTGAAAATATTATAATGTGGAGACCTGCAGCTCATAAAGCCAAGTGGCCATATTTGGACATATTTGTTTTTATGGCGAAATTTAGCTTTTGTGGCTTTAATCAGCTGCGCTTTGAAACGACAGGACCTCAACATACGTCATTGACATCAATTTCTATTTTCCTATTAGCGAGTGCTATGCCCGTCTCTTATGGCATCTTATCGTGTCACTGAAAGAGCACAAAAAATATGCAGGGAGCCAAAAATAGGGGAACTGTTCCGCAAATAGCTGAGCATAGGTTTCACAACAAAAAAACATGATGAGGTGAATTTATAAATAATGAAGCACGAATATCAGCA